AGAGAATTGAGCAATAATGGAATAAAGGAAGGTAGAGAGAAATGAGCAATGATGGAATGAAGAAGGTAGAGAGCACTGAGCAATGATGGAACGAAAGAAGGTAGAGAGAAGCGATCAAAGATGGAATGAAGGAAGGTAGAGAGAAGTGATCAAGGATGGGATGAAGGAAGGTAGAGAGAAGTGAGCAAGGATGGAATGAATGAAGGTAGAGAGAAGTGATCAATGATGGAATGAAGGAAGGTAGAGAGAAGTGAGCAAGGATGGAATGAAGGAAGGTAGAGAGAAGTGATCAAAGATGGAATGAAGGAAGGTAGAGAGAAGTGATCAAGGATGGGATGAAGGAAGGTAGAGAGAAGTGAGCAAGGATGGAATGAAGGAAGGTAGAGAGAAGTGAGCAGGAATGGAATGAAGGAAGGTAGAGAGAAGTGAGCAAGGATGGAATGAAGGAAGGTAGAGAGAAGTGAGCAAGGATGGATGAAGGAAGGTAGAGAGAAGGGATCAAGGATGGAATGAAGGAAGGTAGAGAGAAGTGAGCATGATTCACTTATCAACGGGAAGAGATCAGTGGCGTGATTCAAACAATTTTGCAGCCGGTCGCAGCCTTAATGACCGTTTTGATTGAGAACGACACAGGTCATTAGGTCATAGATGCCTAACGAAGAGTAGTATAGAACTTCTAACAGTTAACAATTGAATAAGAATAAAAATAGAAGAAGTCCACAACTTCTGATTACGTCATAATGAAACAACCCCTGAAACAAAGTTTTCGTATAAATCCTTTATAAAATGTATCGTCGAGCAATGGGGAAAAGGGGGGTGGGTGAAAATTTGACAAAACATGCATTCAAGTTACGCACTTTAGAAGAATCCCAATTAGTGAATGCCCCCCCCCCCTCAAGGCTCAAAACCGCATTTTTTTTCACGCCCCCGAACAATATTTATATTCTAATGTCCCACCCTCATTTACATCGCAGATTTATTACACCACCTATTTCGGTAAAACAGAGGAAAATACTACGCACCAAACGCACTTGCGATATTTTAAAAAACCTTTTTTAGCGCAGTTATCGGGAATTTTATTTCGTGAAATCAATGACATGTGGTAGCGTAAAAACTGATATAAGATTTTCATCGGCAAAGAGTCTATGGGACAGGTTTCAGCTCGAGAGCTTGACGGGAAGTGGGTCAAATTGTCGCCCAAAGATTTTTTTTGCCTTAAACGCACGAACAAAATGGAAGTTTCATTGAAAAGATTTTAAAAGCTAACGTTCCATCAGAGTAAGGAATGTAAATGTGTGATGTCCACATTGGGCAGCTGCCCAGAAGGTGAGTGGAAAATATCACTGAAAATAAGTCACACATTTTGTACCCTTTGTGTACAATTTTATGACTTTTTTCCTACAACTTCCCCCCCCCCCTTCAATCGCCCAGTTTAAAAACAGCCCTGATAACCTGTGCCATTTTAACAACCAACTGAAACCTGCCAAAAAAGGTGAGTGGAAAATATCACTGAAAATAAGTCCCACATTTTTTACCCTTTGTGTACAATTTTATGACTTTTTTCCTACAACTTCCCCCCCCCCCTTCAATCGCCCAGATTAAAGACAGCCCTGATAACCTGTGCCATTTTAACAACCAACTGAAGCCTGCCAAAAGAGACGCAGTTTTTAAACCCCCCCCCCCCTTTTCCTTTTCAACACTAGGATCAGACTCAGTTTTCATAACTGGTTAGTGTTATCTCTGTCAGACTTTGGCTGACCAGCAGACGTACAGCTAGCCATTAGCGGGTTACAAGCTATGACGTAATAAGTCTTTACAAGTTATGTGCATGAAGTTTGTTCAGTGTCTTACGTCCTATTTAAACAAGAGGATTACACCGCGGTAGGGTCGGTGAAGTTTCAAAGTACATCTCTAACATTGCATCCACTTGTACATATCTAAATGCATCCACGTGTACATATCTAACACTACCTCCCCTTGTACATCTCTAACACTGCCTCCCGTTCTTCATCTCTAACTCTGCCTCCCCTTGTACATCTCTAACACTGCCTCCCGTTCTTCATCTCTAACTCTGCCTCCCCCTTGTACATCTCTAACACTGCCTCTCCTTGTACAACTCTAACACCGCCGCCTCTTGAAAATCTCTAACACTGAAGCCTCTTGTTCTTTAACTCCATCATTGCCTCCCCTTGTACAAGAGTTCCTATGTTTAACATGTGTCAAACGTGTGACCAAAGAGCACAACTAAGTATAATAATTATACTAAGCATTCCAAACAGGCAATAGAAAATGAGCGTTATCTGCCTTGTTCACTGACCGACACAGTTCATTACTACTATTTGCTAATTCTTATAATTGAACAGTTGATAAGCTGTCGCCGCCTCTTATATCCTAGTAAGCCCAGGCTCAGGCGTGTAGAATATATAAGATGTCAAACTGTATCATCCACTTGATGTTCCCTTGGGATCAGTGGGTGCATGGTGAGGAGAAGTAGGGGGGTGGGAGGAGGGGGGTCCTGCCGTTAGGAAACCAGCTTATTCTCCTTCAAAAATCCCACGTGATTACATCCTGCGAAAAACCACACTGTCTTGTCCTTGAGTGGGACGGGTGTCCCCCAAATTGATATATTTAATATAGTAGGTCTTATATAGTCTTTATCTGAAGTGCACTCTCAGGCCTACAATTAGAAATATAAGTGAAATAACGGGATCCACGACTTGAATTAATTGAAGGATAGTTGTTGTTTGTTTTTTAAAATAGTTTTAAAAAATATTTCAAATAAACATGCGTGTTAATAGAAGAAAATAAAGCCAGTGCTAGTCCCAGAAGAGGTTAGGCCAACATATTCAGCTGTACTACACCATCGCACACGGGAACGAAACATTTCACATTAAATATTAGTATGATCTGTAGAACAAAGTGTTAGGCCAACATATTCAGCTGTACTACACCATCGCACACGGGACAGAAACATTTCACATTAAATATTAGTATGATCTGTAGAACAAAGTGTCGCAGCATTCAAGAAGGTAGCTCCCTGCCTCAGGGGCCGTCCATAAAGTACGTCACGCTATTTTTGACCATTTTTACCCCCTCCCCTGTCACAAACTGTCACAAATCTTGGAAACCCCCCCACCCCCACCCCCCTAAAGTACGTCACACTTTCGAACAAAGTTTTAAAAAAAAATAACACCTAATAAAAATTTAATCTAAAACACACTTCACATTAAAATATAAAATTTCCACTTAAAAGAACTATCACATTATTAAAATTACTTTAATAGTAGAATAGTTAACTGTCAACAGTTGTCACAGTAACTCAATCTAGATTGAATTTGAAAACAAAAATTGGAAAAATTAGACTAGACAATTATATAATACACATCATTTATCTGCTGCTTTTTCATTTACAATTGGTGAGGTCAAGTTTTAGATCATTTCCGATTATGCGAACTTTTGACACAGGAGTAAGAAGTAGACTAGCGAAACTTGACCTCACCCTGTGATTAAATAATAAACATGAAACAAAACAATTTGACCAAAAAAAAATACTAGATTGACAAATTATGTGACAAACTCTTGTGCTATATTCAATCTGTTTATTATGGGCCTGTGAATTATGATTAATTAAAAAAAATATTCACTGGACATCATCCATCCATGGTGAAGTGAAGTGTCATCCATAGTTACGACTGGCATCAATCTTTCACCATCATCGTTTCCTGGAAGGATAGTTGCAGACAGATCAACTTCATCCTCATCTAGCCACTCAACATCCTCTGAATGTGCATTTTCTCTTCTGGCAATAACTGCCATGAGTTCTCTTTGCCTTGTAGCAGCGATTCTCAAAGGACTGATGCGTTTTATCTGAGTTGATTCTGGAACAGTTTGGGTTGGCACATTCTCCCGAGCCCAAGCTGTGTGTTGTCCTGCATGTTTCTTCGACATTGTTTGTGAGGCAAAGTATAAGATGGACAATAAAGATCATATAGTTGTACTTTGAAAACTCCTGTTGATCTCGGCAAGGCCATGGGCGCCCGCAGGTAGTGGCAAGGTAAGGCACTTGCCCCCCCCCCCCACTTGATTGATTGGATAAAAATTTTTTAGACAAAAAATGTATTAAAGTAAAGAGAAAATAAAGAGAAAGTAACTAAGCTGATGTCCTGTCCGTTCGTTCACCATACAAATACGCTACAGTAAATTAAAACTATATTAAAACAATACTAAAAATTTTTTGCCCCCCCCCTCTGGAAAGTTAATCAATTTTTTTTTGCCCCCCCCCCTAGAAAGTTTTCTGCGGGCGCCCATGGGCAGGCTATACATAAAACAAGGCTTCGCAACAACCTACTAGCGCTCATAGGGAGAGGAATCGTGAACAACACATTCAGGAGATGCGCATTTCATGCTATTTTGACATAAAACTAATTCAAATGTTTCACAAAATTTTTGAACATTATTTTTAAAGCTATTGAATTCTACTTTAAAAAAGTAAATAAATTAGAAATAAAAATGTTTAAAAATAAATGTGTGACGTCACACATGGCCCTGCCCCCCTCCCCCTGTCACAAACTGTCACACTTTCTTACACCCCCCCCCCCCCTCTGGAGCGTGACGTACTTTATGGACGGCCCATAAGCCATTTAAACCTTCACAGCAGCTTTTTATTCTCATTGATGAATAGTTGCCTCAACGCATTTGTGGGACACCTCCTCCCCACTAACCCCCAACCTCAAATATGTATTTCAAACGGAATCTCACATTTCCTATAATATTTTATTTAGCTTATTCACACACACACACTAGAAAGAAATATATAGAAACAGGAAGTGGTTCGTTATAATGAGGAAGGTGCTGTTATTACGTAGATCGGAAATTCCATTGCCACCATTCTTTCACTTTAAAATTGAGAGAAATAACAGAGTTTATTGAAAATTATTGAACACTTGTGTTAAATAAAAACCTCTAAACAAACACGAATTCTAAAATTAAGATCCGGTACAGTTAGTCAGTAAAATATAGTAAGATTTAACATTTTTAACGATTTAATTTTTTTTTAATTCAGTAAAAGGAAAAAAATTCATAGCAGACATTGTTTTTATCAAATTTTAATTAGTTAGACCTACAGTAACTTCAGTAAGGTACATTATAGTTGTATTGTTTGTGATAGTGTTATTGGTCACACAGGAAAATGGTAAAGGAAATTCGTACAGGTTTTTAAGGCCCAGTGTCAGCTGATGATTACTGTAAATCTCCTGGACACACCAGGGAACACGATTAAAGTACACGGTAGGCGGATATCTTATCTGACAGCCAAATTGACAACTAATCATTTTGTAAACTTCATTGCGCGAGAGCTCCTACTCATCGACAAGCCGGATGTGGGTTGAGTCCTTAGTCCCATGAAAACAAAAAGTATACAGTTTCGATTTTCAAATGATAAAGATGTGTCTCTAATTTTGGATTAATAATTCATCGAATCAAACAAGAATTAACAATGGACTTTTTCTATGCAAATATGTTGCAGTGAATGTGTTTGTCACACTTATTGCTAGACATCATTAGTTTTTAAGATTGAAGTCACTCAACTCAGGTCAACTGTCAACTGCAACTCACTGACTCACTGCCTTTCTGAACAGTGAAAAAAAAAGTGAAACAAATTGTGTGATCTTTTTTTTAAAGTTTTAACTTACAAAAAAAAAAAAAAATTATTTTGATAATGATCAGGAGCTAGGATCTAACACTTTTATTAGCCATACGCCTACGTCAGTGGGCTTAACAGTTTTAGGCCTTTTATTATTAATTATTATTTAAAAAATAATTTATATGAAATTAAGTTAATTAAAATATTTAGACATTAGCACAGTGACAGAAGTAGGGCTCTATCCTTGGAAAATGAGTTTAAATACTGCAAATGATGATGTTGAAAATTATGGAGCGGACACAGCATCAGATTCAGACTCTGAACATACACCCTTATTGGTTGGATCCTCATCTAAAGATTCATTTTTTAACCGCCGCTTACGAAGACTTACACGAAGTTTGAGTGTTGCATCAATACGACGGGAAGATGGAGAACCAATTTTGTCAGCTGCCGCTTCACAAAGAGTACTTGGAACTTTTGCAGGAGTATTTTGCCCTGTTGCACTGTCTATGTTCTCAACTCTCTTGTACTTGAGAGGTGGTAAGTAGGTCTACTGATCGATTTACTGTGCTCCTTTCTAAGCTTTATGGATATAGACTTACTTGTTTTATTAAATTATGAAAGAAAAGTTTTTTGGTGAGCTAATCATAAAGCCTAGTTACCATTATAATTTGAAATATTTAGACGTTGGATTGGTATTATTTTTAAACGACAAAATCACTGTGAACTGTAACTTGATTGAGTGCATATAATTTACTGATCACTAATCTAGTGCCCTTCTTTCATGTAAATTAACCATGTCAGTGATCAAGTTGATTGATGGATTTAAGTATGTTAGGCCCAACCAGTCGTGCGCGGTTTACAAGTATTTTAGACCCAACCAGCTGTGAGGGATGTACAAGTATTCAAGACCCAATCAGGCATGAATGGTGTATTTTCCCTGGGCCAGCTCCAAAGCCTCAACCTGGTCATTTAAAAAAAAAAAAAAAAAATATTCCTTTGTTATTTATTTATTTTTATTGTGAATTTTAAAAAGCGCGGTTTACAAGTATTTTAGACCCAACCAGCTGTGAGGGATGTACAAGTATTCAAGACCCAATCAGGCATGAATGGTGTATTTTCCCTGGGCCAGCTCCAAAGCCTCAACCTGGTCATTTTAAAAAAAAAAAAAAAAATATTCCTTTGTTATTTATTTATTTTTAGTGTGAATTTTAAAATATTTTAGCTACTGTTACTCTTGGGGGGTGAATGGCCTCAATGTTAAACTTTTTTGTGTGTGTTTGCTGTATTAAAATAGGCAACCATATCATCATCTTGCCCAAACATTGTAAGGGGAAATGAGATCAAGTCTTGCTACATGTTAGTTAGATTAATTAGACACAAACAATTTGTGTATAAATAAAACAATATTCATTGAGCTTTATTAATGGTTAAAAAAAATATAAATTCACACGTTTCAGCTAATGCCTTCATCAGTACATAAAAAAACATTCATATATGCATAATTAAATTTACATAATTATATCTATAGTACTGATACCTAAAAGAAAAGAATGGGCACGAGTCCTTAATGAAAACAAAGCTCAGGATTGTGGAAATAAAGTGGGTCGAAGCATTATTTAAAAGCCAAAAAGGAAAAAAACCATTGCAGCTAAGTTAAATTGTTAACTTGGTTTATACCGTAACGTACCTTATATTTTTATTAATTTATTTTCCATATAAATTCTATCAGTTGTATTACTCGCATACAATATATCAGTAATTGCAGTGTCTAATATTCCATTATGGTTAGTACTATTGAAATGTTAAGAAACTGGACAAAACCATAACTATTTTTGCTCTCTATTGCATACATTCTTTCAAATGTTATGGTCTCATCTCTGTTATCTGTGGTTTTCTATTATCCGCTAAATTTCACTTCAAAACAAACACAAGTCTCTAAAATAATCAGTAAATGCTTCTAACACTGTTCTTTATTTATTTATTTATTTATTTAGGCATTTTAATATAGCGCTTACCATAAAGCTCTAAGCGCTTTACAATTATGAAAAACATGTAAACTAAGTAAAATAAAAATGAGACAATAGGGTAGTAACTGCTATACTATAGAACCAGTCCTGGTGGTATCACAATTTTTAAATACATTCCTATTCCACTCAATTGCAACCACTCAAATTCTTGGTTCACTCACAAATCTCCTTTTTTTCACTATAAAATAATTCTAGAGCTATTTAAGTTCTCTCTCTAAAAAACATGCTCACTTAGTTGCATCACAACTCTAAACAACTTTAAACTACTAGTACTAAAACCTGGATCTAAAATTCTGGTAACAAAGAGAGGCTATAAAAACACTAGATTATTTATTAGTTTATTTTTTGGGGGTTACAAAGTTACACACATTGTAATTCCAAATAAATGAATATTTGTTCACATGCCTACATGACCCTTAATTCAGCCTAAACCTCTGGGCAGGACAGAAGGAATTAAATTGTTTTTTGTTTTTTTTAGATACTGATCTCTTCGGGAGTGCTAGCATTTCCATCATAACTGACTTTTAAAGACATGAATATTAACATTGATTATAAAATATTTAAACAAAAGGAAATGCAACAAAATGGACTTCAGTCATTGATTGTAAATTGTGGGTATTTTTTGTGTGTTGACCATATTGATTTTCAATGCCAGACGGATATTGTTTTTAATAACAACATTTGACATTTATGTTTGAGGATTTTTTACCTTGGATCAGACTGTAGGATAATAAGACATGTATATTTATATATTTTGTTTCAATTACTTTCAGGATTTGTTGTGGGTCAAGCTGGACTGCTGGAGACCTTCTCTCAGCTGATTCTGGCCTACTTCATCCTCTCTATGACTGTGCTTTCCATTTGTGCCATCTCAACCAATGGAGCTCTTGAAGGGGGTGGAGCTTATTGTATCCTTGAGTTTTTTCCCCCTACAAGCCAGTTTCTTTGAGTTTATCCAAACAATTATTATTATGGATCAAACTCAGCCATTAGCTTAAGTCCCTAGAAAAATGAAGGAAAAAAGTAGAAATAATATAAAGTTAAATAGAAAGAGATTGGCCAAACTTGATATAAAGTTTTGTCGAGACATGCAAGCAACACTTAAAATAAAGTTATTTAGAGAGAGAGCTCAATGGCGAGAACTCAATATTAATTCAATAAAAAATAGTTGAGCTGAACTTAAACTGAAGTTAATGAGAGAAGGATAGGACCATAGAAAAGGCAATAATAGAAACAAATACTAAGTATTTAGATGGGTTTCGACGTGTATTATTTTGTACTACAACTCCACTCATAGAAAATTGCAGATAGAAGTTGCTGCAGTGATAAACAGACTTGTAAAAATGTAATGGCTAATTAATCAAATTTTAAAACTAGATCTAATTAAAAAACAAACAATGGTCACTCTAAAGTTAATTTTAGTTGAGCTACCTCAATCTCCATGATTCTATACATATATTACATAGTAAAAGTCTTCTTTAAAAGAGTGTTATGATTTGATGTTTTTCTGTAGCATTATGTCTGCATTATATTTAAGAACTAATTTGGAATGGCCAAATGTGATGTAGTCACAAGGACAGGATGTATTACATCATCAGCTGTTAGCTGTAATTCAATATGTAGGGAAGTAACAAGGAAGTAAATTACAGAAAGTACATGTTGGGAAGTTTCAAAGTCTTCTCTAATGACATAGTTTTTGTGTGTACTGGGGTTAAGTGGCAAAGTCAGGGACACATTAGTGTGTACTGGGGTTTAGTGGCAATGTCAGTGACATATTTGTGTGTACTGGGGTTTAGTGGCAATGTCAGTGACATATTTGTGTGTACAGGGGTTTAGTGGCAATGGCAGTGACATATTTGTGTGTACGGGGGTTAGTGGCAATGTCATTGACATATTTGTGTGTATCTGGGTTGAGTGGCAATGTCAGTGACATATTTGTGTGTATCTGGGTTGAGTGGCAATGTCAGTGACATATTTTTGTTTACTGGGGTTTAGACAGCATAAAAGAAATGGTGGCAATGTCAATGGCATTTTTGTGTCCATTGGGGTGGGGGCAGTATAACAGACAAATTGGTGTTGTCGATGATATTTGTGTGTGTGGTGGGGTGGGGCGGTACAACAGCAATAGTGTCCATGACATTGGTGCATGTATAAATTGGGTTATTGGAAATATAACATAACTATTGTCCCAACTCCCACTACTCTTAACAACTTAATTTTCCTATTGAGATGAGACGACTAAAAGTTGCTTCCCTTTTCTGGCTGTTGCAGGCACATTCAGTCCACCTGACCTTTTTCTTCACAGCTTGGCTATACTTTCAGAACAGAAAATTATAAGGAATTTGTTTTTTAGTTTTTGCACTTGGTTACATTAAAATATTGAAAAAAAGATATAATCAGTCTAAAAATATGACCCCAACAATGTTCAGCTGGACGAGAATAAAGACAAAACAATTTTAATATTAAAAAAATTAACTTTTTGTACCTCAGTACAATTGAAAAGGTTTGTAGAAAAAGGTTCATGAAATAAAAACAACTCTAAACTATTTAAGAGAAAATAAATTTAATGAGAAATTATTATTTGTGCTGCATGTTCAATTTATGATTATGACTTGAAACAATCTTTAAAATTTCGTCTGAGTGGCACTGGCACTGCATCATGACATATATATAAATAAATGATAAAAGCAGACCATTGGTGCCATGATGTATGAATTGGCCAAATAAATTGTTTTTCATGTATGACCTTAACTCAGTGTAAGACATGATCAGTCGTGCCCTAGGACCTGAGTTTGGAGGTAGCATCGGCTTCCTTTTCTATGTGGCCCAAGTCTTGTCGTGTGCTCTCTACGTCGTGGGTTTTGTGGAAGGAATCCTGGAGAACTTTGGACAAGGAGGTGAATAAGTCCTCAAATTTAAGTTCATGGGTCCCCAATTGTTTTTGGTTTGCTGAACTTTTGACCAGGAGGTCGTTGATAGCTGAAATATAATTTCACAGCCCTGTGTGGATTAGCTTTTTGGGAATGCATCTTTGAAGTGTTTGGACAAGGAGGATGGCAATAGAACCAAGCGCCTTCATCAGAAGTTATCTTGGCACTTTCTAGGGGGACCTTGGCACTTATTTTTGGAGACTACATGAAGATATAAAATATAATAAAAATAAATGTCCATTCACTCACTCTATGAATGTGATCTTCTGTGGGCCAAGTTCTGTCATGTGGACTGCAACTTTGGAAGGGTTCTTTTTGCATAAAGCAATTGACAAGCATTAGCTGGGACCCTCTGGTCATATAAAAGCAGATCATCAAAGCTGTCATTGGAAAATCAACAATCAACAAGTTCTTCCTAAACTAATAACTTATAGATGCTTGTATTTGATATTTATTTCGTACCTAGTAATATACATAATACACTTTCACCCCCCACGATTTTTAATTAGCCTTTATTGGAGTTACTGTAGATGGCATTTGTAACTTTTAATGTTCTACGTGGTGCCCTATTTGACCGGTAGCACACTGCGGTTGACTCTGACAGTCCTCATCCTATTTGTATCTCCACAGGCAGCTTTGTGAGTCCTGGGAATGGGCTGCCTGATGACACGGACTGGTGGAAATATCTTTATTCCACCATCTCACTCTTTATCTGTCTGATCATCTGCCTTATTGGAGGGGCCATGTTTGCAAGGACATCAGCAATGATTTTACTGGTAATTATTAATGTGTCTCTCTCGTTTAAACCAGGTTTTTCCAAAAGTCATTTTACTGGGCGCCATCTACCCCCCACCCTTTCCTTTTTTTCTAAGTTAAAAAAAAACAATCTTGGCATTCCTTTATTTCATCAATTAATTTATAATTTTTGTCAGGCAAATAGCCATGTATTTGAAACTTTTCACACTTTCATTGGAACTGCTAGTTGCCACAATCAAGGGACAAAATTGAGAGTGCTCAAAAAATGTTAAATACTAAATTTTGAAATGAGCTGTTATTTATGACTTGAAAAAATGGGGTCAAGATGCCCATTGCTGAGCATAATTCATTTGAAGGGCACCACAGTAAATAAGTGTTTATTTCATGTTTGCTTCTTTAGAAACTTGGACTCTTAGGTTTAGTAAAATATTGCTCACTAAGCTTGTACAGCATTTCATTGTTTGATGGGTAGAGCATAGTAAGACACTGTTTGTTAGGGTTAGGTAATGTAAAATATCCTGTCCTAGGCTTGCTTTAAGGAACATGTTTTGTACAAGGGTACGAGAAGTAAAAAATCGTGGTTTGATTAGGTTTGGCTAAGTAACATGTCATTGATTCTATTCTTGAGGTATGGCATTAATATCAACATCATGGTGTGTTTAGGTTTGGCTAAGTAACATGTCATTGATTCTTGAGGTATGGCATTAATATCAACATCATGGTGTGTTTAGGTTTGGCTAAGTAACATGTCATTGATTCTTGAGGTATGCCATTAATATCAACATCATGGTGTGTTTAGGTTTGGCTAAGTAACATGTCATTGATTCTTGAGGTGTGGCATTAATATCAACATCATCAGAAATAATTACTTGAAAACAGTAATGCTATATCTTTTTGCCACTGTAATATTAAAGCTACTAAATGAATGCCCTAGGTTCTATTTCCTGCCATTGACCTGTCTGTTTATATTGATTATTGTGCACATACAAGATGTTTCTCTGTTGTTTGTTTATGTTGAATATTGTGCATGTACAAGATGTTTCTCTGTTGTCTGTTTATATTGAATATTGTGCACGTACAAGATGTTTCTCTGTTGTCTGTTTATATTGAATATTGTGCACGTACAAGATGTTTCTCTGTTGTCTGTTTATATTGAATATTGTGCACGTACAAGATGTTTCTCTGTCGACTTTTTATATTGAATATTGTGCATGTACAAGATGTTTCTCTGTTGTCTGTTTATATTGAATATTGTGCATGTACAAGATGTTTCTCTTTCGACTGTTTATATTGAATATTGTGCACGTACAAGATGTTTCTCTGTCGACTGTTTATATTGAATATTGTGCACGTACAAGATGTTTCTCTGTTGTCTGTTTATATTGAATATTGTGCATGTCAAAGATGTTTCTCTGTTGACTGTTTATATTGAATATTGTGCATGTCAAAGATGTTTCTCTGTCGACTGTTACTATTGAATATTGTGCACGTACAAGATGTTTCTCTGTTTTTTGTTGAAACATATTTGTTGTTTTTCTTTCCAGATTGTTGTCGTGTGCACACTGTCGGTGATGATAAGTGTCTTTGCCAAGAACTACAACATCCTGGTGGATATTCCTGACAACAACCCATATGCAAATTTTTCTGGTAACAACACCCCATCAGGGTTGTACACGGGACTCAATGCGACAACCATGCGTGATAACTTGTTCAGTAAGTAGAAAGTTGGACAAAATTCTGAACCTTATAGTTTTCATTTGACCAATTGTACCCACGCCAAGTTGGCTCTTGTGGCCTTGAGGTTTTTTTTCCAATCAGGATTTTCCCCACCTCTTAGAATGGCTGCCGTTGTGGAAAGGTTAAAAGTGACCAAATGATGACCAATGGGCTTCACAACATTGTATGAGGGCTCCCATGTTTAGGAAGCTGAAAATAAACTTGATTTGTAAAAATGTTGTCCAATAATAGCTAACCCATTTTTGTACCTTTCATGACTTAATAGGTGCCGTCATCTTTCTTGTGTCCTTTTTGTTTTCTTTAAAAATTGATGAACTTTTGCTGGTTTCTGTACACGTTGAACCTTGTGTACATGAAACTGAACATTAATATAAGCATTTGTACATTAATGAATGAATGAAACTATCTGTACATTAATGAATGAATGAAACTATCTGTACATTTATGAATGATTGAAACTGTGTACACTATAGGTAACTACACTATTGACTACAGTACCAGTAAAGAGATGGACTATGCCACAGTGTTTGCTATTCTGTTCAGCAGTGTCACTGGCATTTTGAATGGTGCCAATATGTCAGGTTAGTATTTTCTCACTATATCCATATTTAAGTCAGTGACTCAATCACCAAATTTACCACTCTTGTAATGACTGCTGATATTTTATCATCCAGATCTTTGAGGAGAAATATTCCTCTTATTTTGGAGAGCTCAAATAAACCCAAAGCTGTAGATTTTTAACTTTTTACGACTTGCATATCCTGGATTTACCTACTGTCAAATATTTATTTTTTAATATTTATGTTTTTGAGAATTTTGAACGCAAGAAAAAATACAGCTGCCTGCCGAGGGCATGATAGGGCACATCAATAATAAGATACTGGCAATAATTTTCAATGGTTCTATTTAAATTTAGCAAACATTGTTAACACCTGGTCAGGTCTTTTGATTAGGTTATCCTTCTGGTTAAGTTGAATGATGTGCTTTGATCCCCAAACTGACCATTTAAAACAATTTTTTGAACTACAGCCAGTGCTTGACTTTCAACCACGATCGGTTCCGGCCGCCCCGTTGTCGTAAGTTGAGTACGATATGTGTACAGTGATGTGATGTTATAAAAATATTTAAGTTAAATTATATCATAAATTTCTTTTATTATTGTTAAAAATCATAATTTTTGATGGGAGAGGGAGATCAAATCTTCAAACCCTGAAGAGCTCTCCAATCAACAAGCTTTAGCCATGCTTTGGGAAGTCAATGGACCTAGGGTTATTGGTTGTGACCGTGTTATTTCTTAGAAATGGATGACATCAGCTAGCAGCATAGCATCATCATAGCACCATGTCTCCCTTTCCTTAGTTATCGACCGCCGATGATTGCAGTCAACGCTGTTCGGGTGATAATTGAGGCAGTAATAAATCTGAAATCTAATAACTAATATGGCTAGTGATTGTGGTCGTAAAGTGGAATTGTCGTAAGTTACACAGGTCGTAAGTCGAGCACTGGCTGTAGTAGTAAAAGTGTGTCTAAGATTTTTATAATTTAAATAATCACTCATTTTTTTTTCCTAAATTCTAAAAGGTTTAAACATTGAACCCAACCCCCTTACTGCCGCCAACCCTCTTACTGCTGCCAACCCCTTTACTGCCGCCAACCCCTACTCATATGCAAAAAAACCCCACCAAAATGCTCATCCTTTTTTTCCTTTCTTTTTGATAGGCTACATGTTGTGAGGGCTTACTAATATTTCATTCACTGTATTGGACCGAGCTATTGCTCTTGAATGGCCCCGGCAAGTATGGAACAGGCCTGCCTCATCTGCTGGGCAGTCCCGTATAACAGGCTCTCGACGTGGTTGGCTGGGAGCACCCTGTCACGCCAGTCGCTAATGTTGGGCACCCGGCTAGAAGGTGCTCTACTGTCTCCGGCGCCTGTCCACAATGACGGCAGCTCGGGTCCCATAGTGGGTTCAACCTTTTTAGATAGCTCCTCGTGGGGCAGTGATGAGGCTCTGCTGGTGGCGTTTAAAACTCCACGACTGATCGCCCTTACAGTTACTTTTAGGCATGCTCCGGTAAAGCTTTCGTGCAGTGGTACCCTGTTCCCATTCTTTTCTCCATTCCTCCTGGAAGAGGTCCTTAATCCAGGCTTTGACCCCCAATTGGGTCATTGGCCTGTCAGGTTGGGGTTGGGAAGAACCTTGTTTCGCAAGCCAGTCAGCTCTGACTTGTGGGGGGGATCCCCGCGTGTCCTGGAATCCATTGAAGGGTCACGTTCCCTCCGTGAAATCGTATGTCTCGCACGAGTTCCATGATTGCCTGTACCGTCTTAGTGTCCCAAGAGCACCTCTTCACAATTTCGAGAGCACATTGTGAGTCGGTGAACACTACGACGGATGGAAATGTTTTGCATTTGGCTAGCCGATGGCGCACTTGTTTCAGGCCTATAAGAATAGCTTCAACTTCTGCTTCAGCTGCAGAACTGTTGTTGCCGCTTGGGCCTGAAATCTCCTCTGTTGGAGGTATCCCCTTCGGATACTGTATGAGCGCGCTGTAGCCCGCCTGCTTTTCGCCAGCGAGATAAGAGCCATCTGTGAAGACTGATACCATATCCTCACTATAAGCCTTAATCGTCTCTAGTGCGGCCCCCTTTTGCTCATTTTGGGGGCTCGACTTGTTAACCGCCGTGTTTGACAGGGTCAGACGTACATCAGGTGGTTCGCCGCTATCCTGAGGTGATCTCTCCTGGATCAAGCGTAATTTTTCCCTGTTTCCTGGTAAAGAGTGCTTTTTCTCCAATGAGTTGACCGCATCCATAAAGGAGGGTCTCTTAAGCCTCGTCCTCTTTACCCAGCGGTCTTGGAGTTGGAAACAGGGTTCCGTTCGTTCCATTCGACGGTATCGCTCTACGATCGTTAGGATAACTTTGTCCTTCCTGATGTGTAGTGGTTCTATGTCTGAAATGATTTCCACGGCGGCCGTGGGTGTGGTACGTAACGCCCCGCATATGAATCTGAGAGCTAGATTCTGTATGCGGTCCAGCCCCTCTAGAGCCGTACAGCTCGCAAAGGACTGAACCGGCAGGCTGTACAAATGTTGGCATTAAATTATAAGGTTATATCTGGAAATCCAGTATACAAGCAAGCACCACATTTTTAAAATGAATACCTGTAAATGGGATTTCAAGAATATTTAATTGAAACTATGACCGGAGGAGTTCTTTCCCTTGCCAGGACTTATTTCCCTTTTTTAAAAGTGTTTTTCAAGAATATAAATCTGTAACACTATTGATAGATAATGACATGTTGATAGAAAGAGCAAATTTCATCTATTTGGTTTAAAAAAAATTAAAAAACAAGGCTTTTAACAAAAATGATTTTTTAATTAATTTTGGGGGGGGGGGGGGGGGGAGTGGTGGTTTGTAATCATGATACAAGAACTTAAATATCCCTTTAAAAAACAGCTGTTGTTAAGAATATTCCTGCAGCGCTCAGCTTTTGTATCTGCCAGCTTAACATTTGTATTCTTGTTTGTTTAACTCCAGGCGAGCTGAAAGACCCATCCAAGTCTATCCCAAGAGGCACAATCTCAGCCGTGTGTTTTACTTTTTCTACATACATGATTTTGTCAACATTGATTGCTGGCTCCTGCACAAGGTTAGTGTCATGTTATTTCATGTTATATTATGTCATGATAAACATCTGGCCATCTGGAATGCAGCAGTATTTTATTTTGGAAGTACCTCAGTAGGCACCAGAGCTTGGTACACGCTGTTGTCTTTTCTGGTTATTTCCAACTTCAATTGAAAGATGCCTATTTGATCAATTGCATTTTTTGTCTGACCACAAGTTGGTTGCTTCAGTGGTTGAGATTTTCTTTTGTTTTTTTTTGTTTACATCCTAGGAATTATAAATTCAGCTTGAAAATGCACTGTGCCCTTTGCTTGGGGAATTGAATTAGGATGTGGCATTTGATTGGGGGATTGAATTGGGATGTGGCATTTGATTTGGGGATTGAATTCAGTCAGATGTGGCATTTGATTGGGGGATTGAATTCAGATGTGGAATTTGATTGTTGGATTGAATTGGGATATGGGATTTGATTGGGTGGGGGGGGGTGAAAGTGATGTGTAGCATTGATTGGGGCACTGAAGTGATGCGTAGCATTTGATTAGGGACTGAAGTGATGTGTAGCATTTGATTAGGGACAGAAGTGATGTGTAGCATTTGATTAGGTGACTGAAGTGATGTGTAGTATTTGATTGGGGCACTGAAGTGATGTGTAGCATTTGATGAGGGGACTGAAGTGATGTGTAGCATTTGATTAGGGGACTGAAGTGATGTGTAGCATTTGATTAGGGGACTGAAGTGATGTGTAGCATTTGATTGGGGCACTGAAGTGATGTTTAGCATTTGATTGGGGCACTGAAGTGATGTTTAGCATTTGATTGGGGCACTGAAGTGATGTGTAGCATTTGATTAGGGGACTGAAGTGATGTGTAGCATTTGATTAGGGGACTGAAGTGATGTGTAGCATTTGATTGGGGCACTGAAGTGATGTGTAGCATTTGATTAGAGGACTGAAGTGATGTGTAGCATTTGATTGGGGCACTGAAGTGATGTGTAGCATTTGATTGGGGCACTGAAGTGATGTGTAGCATTTGATTAGAGGACTGAAGTGATGTGTAGTATTTGATTAGGCGACTGAAGTGATGTGTAGTATTTGATTAGAGGACTGAACAGATGTGTAGTATTTGAATAGGGGACTGAAGTGATGTGTAGTATTTGATTAGAGGAATGAAGTGATGTGTAGCATTTGATTAGGGGACTGAAGCGATGTGTAGCATTTGATTAGAGGACTGAAGTGAGCTGTGCCATTTAATTCCAAATTTTGAAACACATGTCTTTATTATTCTGTCCCAGGTACCTCCTGATCAACGACTATGTCTTCCTCCAACAAGTCAATATATGGAAGCCATTCGTTGTTATTGGCATATTTGCATCAACTCTGTCGGCATCACTCGGCAACCTTATAGGAGGCTCAAGGATTCTCCAGGCCCTGGGCAATGATCAGCTGTTTTGTGAGTTGACTTTTGGTTGAACAGATTTAAAAGCACAGACATAAATAACAATACTGATTTTTTTTTAATGAAAATAAATCTCATTCTAAAATGTTAAGATTGTGAAATGTTTCCGAAAGTGAGATACAGTTGGTTCCGGGGCCAGCAAACAATGTTGACAAAATCATGAATGTAGAAAAAGTGCAATCTGTACAATGTCATTGAAAAAAACAACATTTCCATTGATTTCCATCAATAAAAGAATCTTATCTCATCTTATTTGCCCATGTGATTTAAGTTTTAAAATATTATGAATATTTGAATAACTACGCAGATTACTGGGATAAACACTTATTTATTTATTTTTCTGATAGCAAGTTGAGGATTTTTGATTGAATCTTTCAAGGACAAATTCTGTAGACTTATAAGATTATTTAAAAACTGAACTGAAAAAATAAAATATAACCTTAAATCCTCTCTAAATTCACTCTCTCTTGGTTATTTTAAAAAAATGTGGGGTTTTTTTCCTCTCAAGGGTTCCTGCTGAAGCCTGCAACAATCACAACAAAAAGTGGGAACCCTTTAGTCAGTGTTTTCATCACCTGGTTCCTTGTTCAGGTGAGTGGTTCTGTCAGTGTTTGCATCACCTGGTTCCTTGTTTAGGTGAGTGGTTCTGTCAGTGTTTTCATCACCTGGTTCCTTGTTCAGGTGAGTGGTTCTGTCAGTGTTTTCATCACCTGGTTCCTTGTTCAGGTGAGTGGTTCTGTCAGTGTTTTCATCACCTGGTTCCTTGTTCAGGTAAGTGGTTCTGTCAGTGTTTTCATCACCTGTTTCCTTGTTCAGGTCAGTGGTTCTGTCAGTGTTTTCATCACCTGGTTCCTTGTTCAGGTGAGTGATTCTGTCAGTGTTTTCATCACCTGGTTCCTTGTTAAGGTGAGTGGTTCTGTCAGTGTTTTCATCACCTGGTTCCTTGTTCAGGTCAGTGGTTCTTCTGTTGTTGCTTTTTTAAAAGCAGTTTACAATTTAAACATGAGTATTTATTATGATGTGTTTCTCAGATGTAGCATTCCAGGGTCTCATGTAATGTAATCTGGACAAAAGAACATTCAGTTAAACCAATATTTCAGTATTGGTCTTCAATTAATGAATATCATATCTAACGTTTGAGACTAATACTGTTGATAGCTTTCAGAAAAACATTTATGATTGCTACTATTTTAAAATATTTTGTTGCAGTCATGCTGGAGGGGGGAATATTCTGTTACTTTGTATTTATCAATAAACTAGAAAAAGTTTCTTGAGATTAAATTAGTGATTTGTTGTCAAAACATGAAGTCAAGCAACGCACTTTGTAAGAATCCCAATGAGTGCTAACTTTGAGGAATTTTTATTTGCACACCTATTGAACACAGTATAACAGACTGAGAATAATATTTGTGATTAATCCTCAGATTGTGCTGCTGATTGGTAAACTGAATGCGATCGCTCCAGTGACTGCTGTGTTCTTTCTGCTGTCCTACGCTTCTGTCAACCTGGCATGCCTGGCTCTTGAACTGGCATCAGCTCCGAATTTTAGGTCTGTGCTGCAACATCAGCTGCCTTGCTTTCAATTTATAGAGCCTGCTTCTATTTACCTTGAAGGAGATTAGGAGAAACATTGGTCTGGCTTAGCTTCTAAATTAATTTTGAACATTGCTACACATGAATCAAGGGGCTGTAACCTGGGGCTACACATGCATCAGGAGTGTGTAACTTTGGGGTTAAAAGGGCTTATCATTTAAGTGGGTACAAGGAGTCTTCATAATAATTAGTTCTGACGTATCACTACACATCTAATGTGCCTATTTTCCCTCAGGCCTACTTTTGTATACTTCACCTGGCACACCTGTACGCTGGGCATCCTGGGCAGCATGACCATGTGTTTTATGATCTCCGCCATGTACACGAGTATATCCCTGGCCCTCATGTTCCTGTTCGCCATCCTGCTCCACTTCCGCTCGCTGCCAACGACCTGGGGCTCAATCAGTCAGGCCCTTATATTCCATCAGGTACTGCATTTCACAATTGTGCTCGACAAATACTTGGCCATCAGAAGTCTGCTGTGAACATGAAATCTTCAAATTTCTCCTAATTTTATGTATGAGACAACAAGTAATAAGAATTATAAATTTTATAAAAAATATATATATTGTTAATTGTGAAAATGTTTATATATGACAATGTTTTAGAATAATTACTTTAAATTTATTGCATGGTTCTCAACTAAAAGCAACAATAAAATCTAATTTATCTGTGGATAATAATTACATCAGTCCAATTATTTAATCTCTGACTTTTTTAATTTTAATTTACTTTTTATTATAAAAAGGTGCGCAAGTACTTGCTGATGTTGGACCCCCGCAAGTCACACATCAAGTTCTGGAGGCCCCAGATCCTGCTCATGGTCTCGAACCCTAGGCAGAGCTGTGAGCTCATGGTCTTCTGCAATGACATTAAAAAATCTGGTCTCTATGTCATCGGTCACGTCAAAGTCGGCAAGCTGGAAGATTTCCCCACTGACCCCATCTTAGATGAGACTCCAAGATGGCAGCAGCTCGTCAGTCACATGAAAATCAAAGCGTTCATTGAGTTGACTCTGGCGCCCAGTGTAGGAGTGGGTTTCCAGCAGTTGGTGAGGATATCGGGGCTCGGTGGGATGAAGGTCAACACGGTGTGCTTTGGCTTTTACGATGACACAATGCCGACAGATTCGCTCCTGAAAACCAAGATAAGGAAAAGAAGGTTTTTCTTGGGGACAGAGCTGAGCAACTTCCAGGACTTCGACAGCTTTTTTGAAACCCCGAGATCAGGCAACGACAAGCATCTCGACATTACCCAGTATGTGGGGCTCATTCAGGACGCACTCAAGCTCCAGAAAAATGTGTTCCTCTGCAGGAACTTCCAGCTGCTTAACAAAGAAAGCATCCTCCAGCCCAACGACAAGTCCTACATTGATGTGTGGCCCGTCAACTTTTTCCGCCCAGACACCACCAGCTACTTTGACAACACGTGCCTGTTCATGCTTCAGCTGGCCTGCATCCTGACCATGCAGAGCGGGTGGAAGAGCCACACGGAGCTGAGGGTGTTCCTCTGCGTGCAGTCCATCTCAGAGAATACGGCCGTCAAAGAGAAGAAGTTGTCCACCTTCTTGCAGCAGCTGAGAATACAGGCTAAAATTGTGGTATGTTATCATCAATAAGTAGATGTGTGAGAGCATTATATGAAAAATTTACAAATAAACTAATTAAATAGCAAGTTTAAAACACTTAATGATGGTCCATTCAAATTTAAGTGTTTAACCTTTTCTAATAAATAATTTACAAAAGTTGCTCTCACCAAAAGAATATTTTTTTCTTCTGTTTAAATATGATTAAATATATTGGGTAGATTAAATATATTGGGTAGACTAATATATTGGGTAGATTAATTATATTGGGTAGATTAATTATATTGGGTAGATTAATATATTGGGTAGATTAAATATATTGGGTAGACTAATATATTGGGTACATTAATTATATTGGGTACATTAAATATATTGTGTAGATTAAATATATTGGGTAGACTGTACTACTATGAACAATAAATAGCTGAAATTGATAATCTCATATTAAACACTTTATGTTAAAAAGTTATGAACAAAATGTTATAAAAGTAGCCTTGTCTGGTACTGATTCAGTAGGTGGTATGTAATTATTCATGTTTAAAATATCCACAGCTTAAGCAGATAATAGTGATTAATTAATAGCAAGTACAAATAAAAATACACATTTTAGGGTTTATTTGAGAGAGTTAATCTATTTTACCATTGGTCTTTGACAAGTGATGAGTTCATAAACATTCTTTTGTTAAAACATATATTTAAAAATGTTGACAATCTATTTGCAAACCATAACACAGAATTCTTTTTTTTTAATATTGTTTTCCAGATTGTATCCTTTGAGCAACTCCTGCAACGATTCAACAGTGATGCAGACCATGGTGTCCATGAGATCAGAACAGCAGCATTTCACGAGTCTGAATCTGAGACTTCCGATGTCAAGATGCACGATTACAATGAGGTTCCACATGATTACCTGCAGGCTGTCAATGCTCTATTGCAGGTACTATTTATAGATATAAAATTATGAAATTTTTCGTACATCAAAATGACTATTGGTACTTTCCATATTACACAGAAAACTGAAAAGAATTGGGGAAAATAATATTTTTAATATTTTGAGAATTTACATTTTTTAAAGAGAAAATTGTGTTTTCAGAATTAATGTAATGAATCCTTAGAAAATGTTCAGGTGTTTTATAATTTAAAATATGCAATCTATATTGAAAGTACCAAATTTGAATTTGTAAAGTAATTGTGTCACTAAATACAAAGGGTTTAAGAACTCCAGCCAGTAACTTAAATAATTTTGTTGCTTGTTTCACTTTTGTTTAACAAATTTTCATTTAAAAACGAGGCAACAAATGGTAGCAATTCTTCAGATTTTGCCATAAAAATTATGGCATGTTTAAAGTTGTACGGATTTTTAAAAAAATCAGCCATAAACGCTAATCTTTGTTTATAAAAAATTAATTCCAGGATCACCTTAACCAGTCGGCTGTGACATTCCTTTACTTGCCGCGGCCCCCTACCTCAGCAGACCAGTACCCAGACTATTTAGAGCAACTAACCGCCATCTCGAACTGGTCCCACCCAACTGTATTTGTGCACGGACTCCAACCTGTTACATCGACAGCTTTATAAAGAAGGGAGATAGCTCTATTTTAAGTCTCAAAAGCTGTCCAGGTTTATCATTTCTAACATCCATAATAAGCCCGGAATATATTTTTTACTTAACTCATTCCCTCCGGCAGCGCTGCTTCCGGACTTAATTTATTTTCCTGAGAAAAGGGAAGCAACTCAGTTTTGAAATTGATTTATATTTTTAAAATATTTTTTAAAGTTGCTAAATATTATTTAATGTTAATGAATTAAGAACAAATGCAACAAAAAATGAATAAGGTTTAATATAAATATAACATTAGCGGGGGAAAAATAACGAACAATGGCCAAAAAAATAGATTTTCGGCACCTCGGACGAACACATGGTACATATAGACGCGCCGTACTAAAGCACACGTAGTTTTAAAGTGAAACAAGATAAAAACTTCCGGTTTCTAAATTAAAATCACGCAGAAATCACGCCAACGAGATTTCATTGCTATTTTTAACTAAAAATAAGAGAGGTGTGTCGCTATGCGCCGGGACGCATTTGGACGCATCAGGAGGAACCCCCCGAGGACGCATTTAGTCGCAACCGTCGGGAATGAGTTAACTCAAAATGTAATTTATAATTAATATTCTCAACTACATGTAAGATTTTATTTGTAAACTTATTTGAAACAGTTTTCTTAAGTTGTTAATATTCATACATTCCCTCAGATAAAAGAAATTTCTATCAATTTTAACTCATACGCTGTTTAATTTATATTAACATTTTTATGAACTGGTTTGACTTGATACTGCAGAGATTTTTCTGGTCACTGAATTGCAATAAAATAAAGATAGATATGCCATTACATTTTGACCTTTTTAAAAAATGATTTTTATTTTTACTAAGTTACAAATTAACTTTTAATTTTCTTGTATTTAATGATGAGCTTTCAAATTTTATTAACTGTGAATGAATTCGTTTCATGAAGTATGAATGAATTGGTTTTGAAAATGTTGAATAAATTGATTTTGAGAGAGTTGCCAAGATAAGTTTGGTGTGTATATTTGAAAATGGATAGTTTGATATTACCGGTATGAGAATGTTTCTGGTTTGAATGTCGACAAAAATGTTGGCTTATTTTGAAAGAGAAATGTTTTAAATTGTTCCATGTATATTATTTTTAAGTTTCAAAACATACAGGTTTAATGACAAAATTTTAAGAAATTGCAATTATCATATTTTAGCACACATTTTATGTCAAGACCTTAATTTCAAAAAAGAAATTGAAAAATTTGTTAATGGTAAATGAAAATGTTAGCAAAATGTTCTTAGTTCTTGCTTTGACTTTGACTGCATTTCCAATTGGTGAAGTTCTCATCAGGTCATTTTTATTTGATATTACCGGTAATTGTATATTTAAAAAATAATAATATCATGTTAGTGTTAGATAAAAATATACCTACTACTATATATCCATCTTAATCTTTTAGTCAATTGTGGATTGTTTTAAAAATAACATGTTAAAACTAATCCTATTTTTTTTTTTTAAAATACAGATTGTATCTTACATTAATTCTAGATTAGAGAGATTTCATGGTGGATCAGAAAGGGTTTTAGTTTGGTATTCATCTTGAATGTCTTTACCTCAAAATATTGAAGTTTTGTCTCAAGATTTAGTGTGGATACTGCATCAAGGAGAATTTAAGTTTTAAAAATTTAAAGAAATTTAAAAAAAAAAAAAAAAAAATTAAAAAAAGAAAACTAAGTGATTTATTTTACATTTTATTTGAGATGCTTGCTACATATCGCTTTGATTAGGCTTAGAATGCTACCAATATCTTTTAATTGGGCTAGGTATGAACAAGTTGTGAAAATTACAATCATTCCCCTGGATTTGGATCATTGAAAAGTTACCTGGGGACACATTAAAGCACAAATAGGGAAATGCTCATAACCTGGAACTAATGTAGGAACATTAATGTCCAGACAAATTGTCTTTCTTATGTAGATTACTTTTTTGACTTTGTACTCATTTAAATGTGGGATTGATTTATTGTGGTGTGTTGGTACCAATAACTGATGTCACTCAAAATGTTGTGCACTGTGCCCCAGATTTCTAGTGAATGTAATTTCCGCTGCCTCTTGCGTGTCAAATCATGTAATTTGCTTGTTACACTGTACATTATTTTACTAAATGATTAAAAATCAAAACAGGTTTTTATGAATGTGCCAATGAACTATTTACAAAAATATAATTTAAAAACCTAAAAAAAAATTTTTTTTAAACTCTTTTTAATATTTTTTTAGTTCAAGTGATTTAAAGCTTATGCATAGTAAAATATATTCTCTTTTTTTACTAGGCCCTATAAATCTTCCACAGATATAATATTTTAATCAATTCTGAAAGGCCACGCAAAACATTTTTTTAACAAAATTTCTACTGAACACTCATTTTTTGACATTGTGAGTTCAGTTCTGCAGTCCACTCAAACTCAAAGCATGATTTACCAGACTGAGGAATGCCGCTAATGGTTGCTTGATTTTTTAAATTAATTGTAGCCATGTTAACAAATGAGTGATGTAGCCAACCTATTTACTGCTTACATTATATATTATTGGTTAACACAAAGTTCTTCTCTGCAGCACTACCTCACTGCATTCGTTGCTGTACTGACTATAAGAAAATACCCAGAAGTGGGCAATGTTTGTCCATGTTGAGGACCCTTGGTTTTCAGCTTGCGTTTATACAAAACTCCTTGACATTACTCACTAGCTATGGACAAATCTACTCTTTGCAAAAATAAAATAAAATAGAGAGAATGATGTATATTAATGAATTTATATTATTTAGATTGATCAAGATTAATATTATAGACTTATTTGCACTTATTTCCTGTATTATTTTTTTTCCTAAATAAAACTTAACAAAAAAAATTGTACAAAGCCAAAAATCCAATTGTTTTACATATTAAAAACATTCCATTAAGCCTTAACCGCCTCAGCCTTCTAAAACTTGACACCTGTGAGTTGAAATTTTAATTTTACTTTATATTTTATGCAATTTCTAAATTCTTGCTGGTAATAATAAAAACATTTCACTGGTGATGCAGTTGCTTTTTTGATGTGTCTCTTTATGTTTAATTAAATAGTGTGCCTTGTGATTCTGAAAAGAGCAAGTGGGAGGGGAAGGTATGGAATGAGGAATTGAATTATAACCTATATTTTATACAGACACTTAATGTAAAATAGTAGCATCAACCTTGGATGGGGACAGCAAAGGGTTAATTAGATGGCCTAGAGCAGTGATGGCCCAGCGCACTGTTGGCCTAGAGCAGTGGTGGCCAAGAGCAATGTTGTCCTACGGATTTCCAACTAATCTTAAAATAATTGAAGTAACCATTGCAATGGTCGGTTAAACTACCTCTGTCTTCACTTCAAGTCTTGATGTACTTTAGGTCTCTGTTTTTTATTTAAACTTAAGTTTCTTCATGGATTTTTCTATTATTCCCCAAATACTTGTATGGTAGTGTTTCTTGATACATGGGCCCTGTTAAAAAAAAAAATTCCGTTTTTCTATACTTTGTTTCAATCATTTCCTTTTTACCTAACCCAATTGCAGTCAAACAATCCCCCCATCCCCAAATTACTAGGTGTTTTAATATTGTGTTTATTAGAGTACCTCTATGTCTATAAGTGTCTTAGTTTTAATCATTTATTGTACTCTGTAATTAAAAAAATTAAATGGATGCTTTTTTATGATTTTCAAACTTTAATTAAAAAATGTCACTGGGTTACAGTTACAGAAGCCATTTTAAAACCAATTTAGGATTGATCAAATAGTTATACATGTTCTGGAATTGTTTACTGCTTCTAAACTTAGCCAAAGCTGGGGGAGGGGGGCTGATGGGTTTTCAGTTTCATTACATCAGCCATCACTGAAGGTCTGTACTTTCTGCATAATGCTTGCTATTCTCTGAGTTTCTGCTCCATAGAGTAAGACTTTTAGATATTTGTGTTTAAAATTCTATGATTTGCAAAGTCAGCTCCTTCCACTCCCATATTTTCTTTAATAGCACAAATGCTGACCTAGCCTTTCCCATTCTAGCCCTGAAATCCGCTTGGGATCCACTATTTATGTCAAAAGATTTGATACGGATGATAACAGTGGGCGGTAGAATTTGGCTGTAAAGGGTTTAGCATGTTTAATTCTGATTTTAAAAAATAACATTTGAAAGATTTAGTATAAAATGTTTGCTGGTCACTTGAAGAGAGTAGCCTACATTAAAATATTTTAAAGCCAAATTCCTTGTTTGACTTTGAGTCATTAAAATACAAGTGAGATGAACCAGTGCCCCATATGACCAAGAATTGAAATACGGAGCATTCATATGGGGAAATTCTATACACATTTCAAAACATAATGTTTGGCAAACTGCTGAGCTACTTTATGGCTAATGGGAAGAAAAGGGATTCATCGAAAGTTAGAAGAATTATTAATGTAACGTGGCTGTCCTCAATTAAAAGATGTTATTGTAAATATATTATTGTATGTTCCGACGTACACACGTTCCTTTTCTGAAATCAGATTTTATAATCTTAACTTCCTTTGACTAAATGTTGTTGTTTTTTATTGTAGTTCTGTGTACAAATATTGATTCTCACGTTTTCGCAATAAAATTTCATACTTATATTGTGCATAAGAATTGATTACAGTCTTTCTTAACTTTTGAGAACAAGAAAACTTCAAATTATTTAAATTTTTTTAAAGTTTGGATTGTCCGGGTTTGCTTTGGACTGAAATTCGAAATTACTCCAGAACTTAAATCGTGATATCAGTGTTTCAGAAGCTGGTACTATCAATAACACTGGAACTGGAAGAAAATACCGTACAAATTCAATTTATTTTTCCTTCTTTAAAATTTTCTAGGTTTGTTTTTATTTTAAAATTAATCTGTATATTATATGGCTATACTACCGGTATATAAATTATACATCTTTTTAATTGCATCAGGAACAAACAGTTGTTTTAAATTATTATATATACTAGCTATAGCTGACAAACAATGTGTGAACTTCCCATCTTAAAGTTACTTGACAGAAAATACATTCAAATTCAAGTAATGCTCTTTGTAAGAATCCCAATTTAAGCACCAAACGTACTAGAAGTATGTTTGACAATCTAGTTTATCAGGATTTTTTGGGGGGTGATCATGGCCATCTGGTGGTTTTGGTGAAATTGTTACTTAGAGATTTATGTATTTTGATTCTATGGTTATACCATTACTATTATTACTGTATAAATTATACATCCTTTTAAATGCATCAGGCAAAACATCCCAAATTTAATATTCAATTTCCTTCAGAAACAAAATCAAAAAACAAAAATTGATTGTAAATGGAATGTTGGAGTTGTTAGCCGCTGCTGTGATATTAAGAAAGATTCTATGTTTTACTTTCACTTTGACTCAAAGTTTGAGAGACTTTCATTGACATCCAACCAATATTGACATCATTCTATAGCACTGATCTTTCATGAAGTGTGGAATTAAGAAATTATTGACCATATTTCTTTCAGATATGTTAAATTTTTTTAAAAATGTAATTAAAAACTATACAAACACTGCTCTTCATTCATATAATTCTCTTCTTCCATATTATAATATATACATAGTACATAAAATTATATATTCAATGAATTTTGTCTCAGATTAAAAAAGGTAATGAAACATTTCTAATTTGCTTTTGTAATATTTTTTGTTTGGGAATATTAACATATTTGTGACGTTAGTGTTTTGAATAATAATAGTTATTTTAATGAGACAATTTTTGTCTGTTTATATAAAAAAAATTTCATTGATCTTAATTAACATTTAATTGTTTTTTTAATCATTACCTCTAGAAGACAGAAGTATTTATAGGTTATAACATTTCACTTTATTACATACAACATCAAATCAGTTCATTTAAAGCTTTTAAGCTCAAAGGGAAAAAAAAATCTCCCTAGAAGGTAACCCTGGAAAAAAAAGCAGGCATAAGACGCACAACTCATGAGATGTTATGATTGGCTGCAGAATTTGAGACATCTCACTAAAAATTAACCTAAATACCAGCAGGCATTAGATCAACAATTCATGAGATGTTATGATTGGCTGCAGAATTTGAGATACCACCCTAAAGGTAAAGCTCATAAATAACAGGTGTAACATACGTGACAAATGATGTCATGTGGTCATGTGAGGATGAAGATGCAAATGCAACGTATCAGGCAAACAAGGCACTTTAGAATTTTTATACATAGAACAACAATAAATCTCAAACCAGTTCTCTCATAAAAAGTCCATCGTCTGATAAAAATCACTGATAAAGCCTCAGGGATTATAAAACTGATAACTGGTCTGTCCACATCGCCCCACACCCAGAGACCAAAAGTAATAATAAAACGGTATCTGAAATGAAAATAAATAAACATTGATGCTTAAAATGACAACCAAAAAGCTCAAAACAACATGATACAACATGATGCTTTATTTTACTCTATTAAGGTGTGCTGAAATCACTTACTTTATTGCTTGACCTATTCAGAAAATTACGCAGTTAAAATTTTGAATTGAAAGACGGATACAAAGGCTGGCTTGGCATGTAGCCATAAATGTAAGGGAAATAGCTTTAAAAACATGTAGCCTTCTTAAGGATAAGATATGAGGGACTGTGTTCAGGCTGCGTGTAAAATAATTAATAAGTAGAACCAGATATGTTTAGGCTTGAAAATAAAAGATCGGACAATTAAGCTGACGTTTATACTAGATGCCTCAGTCCATACAAGGGAGGTGTCAGCTCAAAGGCACATCAGGTGTATCCATCATGGCTCTAATTTCCTGCACTAATACACCAGCCAGAGTGAAGAATGAAAACAAATGAATTCAGATTTTAAGTGCCATATAATCATTTGGAATTAATCAAATACTCACTGATGATCCTCCATTTCTATTCTCAATTTTTGCTGTTTAAAATAATAATTGAATTCTTTTAATGTGATGGTACGCACCACAGAATAATGTTGGACACACTTATTGGTTATGAACAACCAACTTCCGTTTCTAACAGTAAAATAGAGCTCTTCTTGTTCTGAACATTAAGCTACACTGATTTTATTGAGATCTTCAAAAAAAAAAAAGTTTTTTTTTCTTAAAGCTTAACTTTATCTGTTGTTTATTGGATTGTATTGTCTTCTGAAGACAGCATCTAGCAAAACTTCTGCATTAATGTCGACTTTTATTTTCAAGCCTAAAGATATCTTGTTCAACTCTTTATTTGGCCTACTTAACAAAGTAACAAGCAAATTATGAATTGTTTGCCGATTTAGTTAGGGTGTCATCATGATTCATTGAGGCCAATTAAACTTGTTTGCAAACTAGTAAGTGGCAAAGTGTTAAGATACTCTTAGTTTCAAAACAACACTTAATTTCTAAAAATTATTAAACATGTTTTGGGGTTTAAAAAACCCACACTTATTCTCTATTTATTCTATGAAAACAGTTGATTCACTGACAAGTGTCCTATACAATATTGCACCATGAATTCCAGCCAGTCTGAGCATCGTCACTGTCATAGTATGAATCGTCGCAGCTATCATCATCACTGTCGTCATCAGCCTCATCTGTTGAATCTACGTCTGAATCCTCGGCCTTCTCTGAAAGGCCACGTCTGTATTCCAAAGGATATACATCCTCTTGGTTGCTGAATTGGGAAGAAAACTTTAAAATGAAATATTTTTTTATAGAAAGAAAATAGCTATAAAAAAAGATAAGGACTGATTTGTATTGAAGATCATGTGTTATTATATAAATCACTAAACCTCGTTGGGTACGGGTGCCACACAAGGTCATTAAAAAAATATTAAGAAACTCTAAATACTGCATCTTTTTCTTGTAAAGGAGTTAGCGCTCCTACCCCACAGCTCATCACTGAATACAAGAATGACATGATTGAAATTGGTGCTTTCAACCCTACCTCTTTGAGATTTTATCGGCTGAGAATAATCTCCACGCCTTCAGTTCCATTCCCCCAGTGACAACAAGCATGGAGTTCTCAGAGAGTACACTGAAGTCTAAGCAGATGATCCTCTCTGTGTTGTTGTCATCTATTGTTGCCAAGTAATTTAAAGTTTGACTGGATCTCACTGTAAAATAAAAGACAATTCTGTCAAAGAATGCAAGCGGCATCATTTTTTTAAACTGACTTGGGATTAATTTTATCACAATCAAAGGCATTTCATTAGTTTTTATTTTAAAAAAAGATAATCAACTTTGTTCTTAAAGCATTCACCCTTAAATTCCCTTAAAACAACAAAGAAAATACTGTTAAAAAAAAACAAATGGAAATACAATCTAATTTAAAAATTCTTAATACAAATCTAACCAACTTACAAACACAATTTTACAAACACATGATTTACAACACCATTTTACAAACACATGATTTACAACACCATTTTACAAACACATGATTTACAACACAATTTTACAAACACATGATTTACAACACTATTTTACAAACACATGATTTACAACACCATTTTTACAAACACATGATTCACAACGCAGTTTTACAAACACATGATTTACAAACACAATTTTACAAACATATGATTTACAACACCATTTTACAAACACATGATTTACAAACACAATTTTACAAACCTACCATTCACAAATCCAAGGCCTTCATCAAGATCATAGCCTGAGGCCAGGATGAAGTCACCATGGCAACGGATGGCGTCTGTTGAGCTGAAGTAGCTCACGTGGTTGGCCAGTTTGGTTACTGCACCTGAAGGGATGAAAGTTTAAGCATGGGTTGTTTTGGTTACTGGTATAGTCATCGATGTGCTGTAGTCACAGCGGTATGATGGCTGTTATTCAACATGAGCAGTTATAATCCAGGAATGAGGATTTAAGCTGGATTAGAAACTAATTTTAATAACAATGTGCCAGGAGTACTTGACGACTTCAGGAATTCGCATTCAATCTTTTTGTTTTGATAACATATATTCATTTTAAAATGCATTAGTGACAGAGCTAGGGCTAGCAGTTACATTGGTAAGGCCAGTAATCAGTGCTGGGGCCAGTAGTTAGAGTGCTCGGAGTGAGTTCCTTGCTTTTACTTCACTGAGAAATCACTACAGTCAATACTCGCCCCCTTTAACATCTCAATATCAGCTTCTCAAATTTTAGGAATAATCCTGGTTGTGGGTCGCTACAACTTGGCAGATTTTATCAAGGGGGTCACATCACTAACAAAAGATTAAGAGCCGCTAGATTTGAAACTGCTTTTAATAGAACAATGTTAAAAAAATTAAAAGTAAGCGCCTAGTATCAATGACTGCTTCTATGTTAATAATAACTTGACTTTGTTAGGTCTCTGAAATGTTATGTCAGTGTCTATTGTTGTGTGCGGAGAGTGAAAAAAACCAGAAGCCCATGTCACTACTATGAGTAGCACTGTCTTACTGGAGGTCTTAAAACATGGCTGAATCAGCTAACTCTCAACTGAGCCAGCCCAAAACTGTGCAGCACCTCCTATCAGTTCACTTCTGCTATGGCTCAGCTAAAGTGGAGCACCAGAAAAATTCCATTTTGCCATTGCCATCCAGGTCAAATATAACAGAATGACAAACCTCTCTTCCAGTCCAGCACCTTGATATTGCTGCTGTCATCTCCGTAGAGTATGCTGTTGGCTCCAACCTCCAAGCATCTGACATGACGGAAATTGACCGGGCGGCCCGCCTCCGTTTTCAGGAACTCTGAAACAAAAACACACGTCAGCAGGATCCCGTCTTGGATCATGTGAACTTGTATCAGCCCATCCGCTGAACAGCTGTAAACCACATCGTCCTGCACCTGGGAACAGATCAAAACAACAATCAAAAATAGAACAACAAAAAATAACACACTCCAGTCAACAACCTTATTGTAAACAATTTGTGCAATCATCAAATGGAAAAACAGACATTTTTCTCAATGCAAATATCAACCTATAAGTTAACTTTTCTTTCTTATTTAAATTTGTCATGGTCTTCTGCTAGCTGTAACGTGCTTCTGATAGATTACAGTATTTTTGAGATATACAATGGTGTGCAACACTGGTTCTGGATATCCCACTTCAGCTTGATCATTTGTATTGGGTAAGCATCCATACCATGGATTTTCTGTTTGAATTTCCTCCCGTTGTCTTTGAGTTCAACAAACCATGGACAGGTCATTTTGGACAGGTCATGTTTGTTTAATCAACAGGTGAGAGGGAAGAATAGTAAATGCGATTCGGTGTGGGCAAGATCTGAATCCCGATCTGGCTTACAAGGGTTGAGCTGTGTCTTACTGATGGGGCCAGGTAGCTAGCGCCACCAATTAACACTTATAGAACTGAATGGGCCATGCAGCAATCTCCATCCATTAACTCTTACAGCATCTATAAGGTCTTGGTGCTGTGAGAGTTAATGCACATTGCAGTTAGGTAGAGAGCTTAGTCTTGAGTGAACAAGTTCCAAGCAGGCCTCATAATTAAATATTAGAGAACTATTTAAAATGTTTGAAATTCGAACAAGACTTTTACCACGAGTCCTGTAACAGAGTCTTCATAAGGACAGCAGGAAAATATTTCTTCACCAGATACCAACCTCCACAGTTCTAGCTTGCCACCATCTGTTAAGTAGAATTTAATTATTAGAAGCAAACGGATGTAGGGACAGTCTTTAAGTCAATGGACAAGATGACAGTTTTAAGTAAATAGACAAGCTAACAGTCATTACCAGTTAATTGACAAAGAGGCCATCCATTAATTATGTCAACAATGTTTAGGCAATTTTAGCCCCCCTCCCTTCCCTTTGTCAACAACCATCAAATTTTCATGGAACTCCCAAATTTATTATGTAAAAAAAAAGAAACACCCCCCCCCCCCCCCCCCAACCAAGAAAATAAAAATAAATGAACCCATTTATTATTTCAAGCTGCAGGGAACAAGACATTTATTACATTTTTTGAACATCTTAAGATAAGTTAATTTTTAACAATTAGAATCCATGACTAGAGTCAATTTTATATTGCAGGATTTATCAAAATTTGATGAGGTTAAATATCTTTAAAAAAAATGCATTATTTTGTTCATCTTCACATTGATCAGCCAAATGTTCAAGTAGATCAGCCTAATGTTCCTCTCTTCATGCTGATCATCAAAATGGTCCTCCCATACAATGGTGCAAGTTGGCCCCATTTTTGTTTTGTTTTTTTGTAGTGAGGAGCAAATGATAATTTCTGAGGCCCAATAACTCATCATTTTACTGTGCTGAACATTTGAAAGTATAACTATGAAAATAAACAAATATTTAGCAATAAATTAAAAAAATTAATTGTTGATGTCCTTTTATTTAAACTCATTCCTCCCTTTTTGTCAACAATTGTCAAACTTTCCCAACCCTCCTCTGCCTCCGATTTTGTTGACATTTTTAATGGACTGCCCCAAAGCAGTCAAGGGTTAATGAATTATTGATCACAATACAAGTCGAAGGAAAATATCTTTATTTGACAGTAGGTTTTCCTATCATTACAGTAAATTTTTAAGAAGATGATTTTTTTCCTCACTAGGCCTAACATCGGGACCCTGCTTTCCTGACACAGTTTTAAAAATTCTGCTATAAATAATGTGACCTTTTGTCCTATTTTGACCAGAACAATTAGGATTTTAGGCCATTTGTCCTGGTTCGTAGTGAGCACATCTGATATCCAGGCATAAATAAATAAATAAAACAAATAAAGGAATTCATGCAAATTAGAATCATGAAATTTTTTTTTTTCCCAAAGAACGCCTCATAGACAAAAGAGTTCTCTTTGACACCACAATAGTAACAGTTTAAATTATTGATTATTTTCAGACAACGATGGTGAAAAAACAATTTTTAAAATTCTGGTTTTAAAAGTAGAGAAATGGTTTTTGGTCACTTTACGTTAGAACACAACAGAGCTAAAAGGTTTCAACAAAAGGATTAAGATTAAAAAAGCACTGTACCTGATCCAGTGATGAGACAGTTCGACCTGGGAAAGAATCCAACTTTGGTGATGGCATTGTATGTGTAGATGGACTTGAGCTGCTGACCTGCAGAAACATAGAGTGACACTGTCAGGTTTAAGGAATGTTCATGGCCTGAGTAACTGAAAGAATTGATTGGAAAAACTCTCAACAAGTTGGTCCCTTATGAACTGTTGCTCAACATTAAAGCTTTTTTTTTTTTTTTTTGTCAGTACATTTGAAATGGACCATAATTTATATAATAACATTTTGATTTGATACTAATTCAAATGAATAAATTGCTTATTGTCCATATATATGTGTGATATTTCTAATCATTTAGGAAGCTCCCAACAAATAGTTAACATTCAGATCTACACTCATTTTATGGTTCATCCAAGTTTATACAGCTATCAAAGCTTGGATTGCTATCCCTCATGAAAACTGTCATCCTTACATTGATTTCATAAATTTGCAAGTGCACTGGATAATTTTAGCAAAAATACTATATTCTCTTTGGAAACAATCCAATAGGTAGGATCCAGATTAAATTTTTTTAAAGGTTGATATGGGACTGTCCTGGAATGCATCCCAACATTAAGCCAGTAAATCTCACGTCATTCATGTATTGTGTGAGTCCTCTACATTTGGTTGGTATTAGATTTTACCCTTGAGCATAAAGCAAAGCTAGAGCCACTAAATTAAGAAGAGCATGCTGAAAAGAAGCCTGCAACAAAAGCCTGGTTACTGTAAACTTTAAATATGTAACAGCATTTGTTAGAAAACCATCCCAAAAGTCAGAAGGTATCAAGAGTTACCTGTGTTTAAAGACCAGAACTTGACCGTGCAATCCAAGGATCCACTCACTATCAGATAATCATTGGCAGCAAAGTGAGCATCTGTAAAGTATCATGTCTAGATATGATATAATATGTTTACATATAAAGCAATATGACAATAAAAAGCATAGTATGTGCACACCTTTAATTGATGAGTAACGTTTCTGGAATGTTATGACACTGAAAACATAACAGAATAAAAAACATTGATTAAAGGAAAAAATAAAGAGGGAAATAAAACAATTGATTATAAATAATGGCTTAAGATCTGAAAATTTTGGTTGCATTTTATGATATCTAAACACCATTTAATTTTTTTTAAAACCAACAAAAGCAGATTATTTGGAAAATAAAACTATCATCTGTCAAATAATTTGACCCTCCTAAATCTGTTGACATGTATACGGTAGCCATGTCTAGAAATGTTGACATGTACATGATAGCCATGTCTAGAAATGTTGTCATGTATATGACAGCCATGTCTAGAAATGTTGACATGTATATGATAGCCATGTCTAGAAATGTTGATACGTATATGGTCGCAATGTCTAGAAATATGTTGTCATGTACACGGTAGCCATGTCTAGAATTTATTTTAATCTTTACATATACTAATAAATATGTATAGAATGATATCAAATTTCTAGATGTTAACATGTAATCTAAAATAGAAACACACTTCTAAGTAAATTGTTAATAGAAAAAAACAACACTTTAAAAAGTTGCTAAAAAAAACACACCTCTAATTAAGTTGCTGTTTTGCCGATTAAAAAGAAGAAAACAAGTCTAAAAATATTATACGGCTAGAATAAAAATATAGAACTGACAAAGAGTGAACCAAATGTTGGTCCCAAAGTCAAGAGACATGTGACTGTTTCTGTGTGCCCTCCAAAACTGTGAGTTTCTTTTAGGTCATTGATGCTCCAACATTTGACAGTTGTGTCACGGCTATTAAAAAATATAAGGAGATACATGCTATATAAAATCCATTTTGTTTCATATAATGCTATAAATTGATTTAAATTGTGTTGAGGAAATTGAGACATCATAGGAACAATTTTGTAGTACTTCTTATTTGAAAAAACTGTAAAATACCTATGTTAACATGTTTCTACTTTAAAATTGATCAGAATGTTTTTTTTGTTTTGTTTTTGTTAAATGTTATATTTTTTAGCTGAAAATATTAATGCACAATGACTTCAAAAAAATATTTCCATTTATTTGGATCAATAAGAGAATCTTATCTTTTCTTATATTACTGAACATCAAAAGCCTTAAAACTATGTGTGCTTTGGTCAGCTTATTCATAATGCTGGAAATGACCTTACAAAATGAATATTTTTCAAGCATCCTATCAAGCTTTTTTCATTATTTTTTTTACAATTTATTTGAAGGTGTCACCTGATCACTTTGAAGTATGAACTTCTCAAGACTACCAGAAAAATGAGAGCCAGAGAAGACACAAAGTTGCACGTCAATGATTGCTCCCTGTCTGAAGAATGTTTACAATCTCAGGACCCTGCTACCCTGGTCTCAAGTCTACTTACCTGGAAGTCAAAATCTTGTCATCAAGAATCAGCACTGACGTAATGAGGTCACTGTGACCCTCGAGTAAAGTGAATGAACAGTTCGACATAGAGAAGGCAGGGGATTTTTTTGTTTTTTTAACAGCATCGCCAGAAGCTAACAAAGAAGTAGGAAGAAAAGAAACAAAAATTAAACACAAATTTTCGTTAGCAACTGGGACCAGATGTAGTTGTAGAGAACATCAGAATGATAATACATATCAAATTATTACATTGATTCAGCTGTGGTTGTTAAATTCATCTGTGAATCCACCGAATAATTACTAGATTAATTAGACACAAAAAATTTGTGCAAATATTAACCCCTTAAGTTTTGCAGTTTTTCTAACATCGATAACAACATTTTTAAAGGTTCAAACCCTATCTGAAACCCCAAAACTAACTGGCTTCTTTTGTGGGTCATGTTTTTAAGACATACAGTCTCTTCTGAAAATTCAAATGCAACCTAGTCAATATAGATAAATGAATTTTAACGCTAAATAAAGTTTTAGAATATGAAAATCAAGGTGAACATGTTCAATGTCTTAGAGTATGTTTCTGTCGGTATGTTTATGTCTGTACATTGCAAAAAAAAAACAACAACAACACTGTTTGTCCTTTGCTAACATCTTCACTTAATTTGGTTTTGAAAAAACACAAACACAGAAAAGATACTTGTTTTTTTTTCCAATTATATTTAGTTTGAAGTCTGACAGGTAGATCTACTTTGTTAAAAATTCATTAAAAAGAAATTGCATCTATTTTGAGAGCCATTTGAGTACTTAAAACTTTTGTAAAAAAAATCTTCTGGACAATACTGCATAATTTACAATAGAACTAATACAAAATAACAGAAGTCATCAAGGCTCCAGAATATACTAATAATGAAATTTTGAAAATAATTACCAATGTCAGGAGAAAGCCGGGGCAGTAATGATTCACTATCTGCATTTTCCCCCAGAGTGTTTGCTAGGCTATAAAATTTTGTGTCTGACTCGGATCCTGAATACACATTTCCTGACTCTGATTTAGAATAAAAAGAATTGTCAGAATCATCCCAGTTAAAAAAATATTATTTTGACATTTCAGTTTCAGTGATTATAAAAAGAAAAAGAAAGTCGACTTGCCCTGATAAATATTACAGTTTAATTTTTATAAAACCCTAGGAACAAACTAAAATTATTTTTGTCCCTTCTACTTCAAATAAGCTCATTTACTTTTCAAAAAATAAAAAAAACAAAGGAAATATTTCAAAATGTGAAAAGGGTGTGATGACTAGATGAGAATCTGATATAGCTGAGTTTGAAAATGATGTGACATTGTGGTGTAATTATGTTACCGGTAATTAATATTTCATTAACATACCTTTGTCTCTGCCTCCATCTTTATTACGCCTTTCTTTGGTTGAGCTACCAAACAGGAAGAAAAATAATTGTTGCCACCGAAAATAATATGATGCTCAGTACCTAAAGTAAACATAATTAGTGGAAGCCCCAGCAGCTTCAATGACTTACTGAACTTTCTGCAGTGCAGCTCTATGGGCCAGGAAGCTCACATCTAGAGTGTCCAGCCCATTGTTCAGAGGATTGGTTTCATGAGTGTTCTCCAGACAAGACATTCAAAGGTGTCTTAACTTCTCAACAGAGTTGGAAGTTGACATTATGATTTAACTTTATGCCAACACTGATACTGTTAGAGCATTTGCCATTTGCTTCTATCAGTAACTACTTCTATAGGTAGCTACTTCCATCAGTAAATACTTTGATCAGAAACTACCTTGGAACAACCACTTTAAAAAGTTACAATTTTAACATTGCTGCCAGGTATAATAGTCCACAACTAAAATCAAAGAATAGCAGTTTCATTATTTTTTCTTCCTAATATGTGACTGATAACTAGGAATTTATAAATATATTAGGAATGAATAGCTAGTTATTTTTATAAACATAAATCACATCTAAATTCACCTGTGATTGTTATTACCACGCTGGATGTCTTCTCCACTCTTTGTCCCCTCACTGTCTACTGTTTCATCCCCCCCAAGTGTAACTTTGCTACTGACTGGTGACTGGTATTCCGTGCTGTATCCAACATCTGATATCCTTGAATTTCTGTCATCTTCATCCTCCAAAATAGCCTCTTGTTCCTGCTGCAGCTTTTTTAAAGCTTTATGAAGACATGCTCTTATGTCAGATTTTGAATCTACCTATAAAAGAATTTCTAAAGTAGTTTAACTGTTTTTAAAAGGGAAGTTTAGTTGTGCTACTTGTAGACAATAACTATAATTTGACAAAAATGAATAGCTCCAAATTTTAGTTTGGTAAGAGGTGGGAGAGACTGCAATCAGGTTAGGTAAAAAAAAAAGGAAATGAGTGAAACAATGTATGGGAAAATCTGAAAAAAAGGATGCAACAAAACAAAGAACGTGTCGGCAAGAGGCCTTCTTTGGTGAACAAACAACAGTAAAAAAAATAAAAAATTTAAATAACAGTGAACTCTTAGCTTCAATGTAGTATCCAAGAGGACAGCAAGAGAAATGTGGTTACGTGCTGACACATTTGTTGTTAAGTTGAGTCTCTTCGTTTTCAAATTTTCCCATACTTTTGCACATTTCCAAATTCTAGAAACTATACAGTAGTGTTTGGTCTTCTTGGTGACACTTTTTAAATTAAATTTTAGCACTGATGATATTTTCAACCACTTTATTAATTCATCATTCATTCAGACTAAATTTAAATCCCTTAAGCCAATTTAGTTAGGCATATACATGCTAACTCGTACGGTTTACCCGTACTTTTTACAGTTTATATACATTTTCCAAGTATATGGCTGTACATCCTGTTGTACACTTTTTCACTGGATTTAGAAAAGAAATATTTTTGCATAAGGTAAGACACACGTTTAAAATTGGCGGTGTGGTAAATGCAATGAAGGACAACAAGAACCTTAAATCCTATTTGTCTCTTCAAATTGATCAAGTTCAACAGCAACAGTTGATGACAAACTTTTTTTTCTTCGTTAATTTAAATACATGAATCTATATTACTAGAGTGGCATAATTAACCTAAGAATAATGTCTTATTACATCTAAATTGTTATCCAATTCTTATCTGTCCATTTTTAATAAACTTTTCATTTAAAGGATTCCCTATATAAATATAATATCCATTTATAAATGATGATTTCTGATTATGTAAACATGCATTGCTTGCCATAAATTTCCATTAAATGTGTGCAGCAAATGGGACAAGATTCATTTTTTATTCATGGATTCAAAATATTGATAGAAATTATGAAAAAAGTTGTGGGAATTCAATGTGAGACACAAATCACATTTGGTTACTAACTTAAACTTAGTTGAGTTTGAGTTCAGTAATCAGTGTCTCAAATCAAAGAGTTTAGTTAGTAGTTAGTCTATCAAGTCTGTGATGAGTTAAGTAGGCCCTATATTATTATTCTGTACTATGACTATGAGTATGACTAAATTTCACAAATTCTTAATTTTAATACTTTGATAGTAAGTAGATACATGAGTAAATCTCATTACTGAGTCTGCTTATCACTCTTTGAAGCCCTCAAGTATTTCACTACCTAAGCTGTTTCAGTCAGAACTTAAACTTTGAAAGTTTCTGAATTATCATGATTTTAACGTTCATTGAAAATTTCAGTTCAGTAGTAAAATTAAATCATGTAATTTCCAGTTCTGTGACTATACTATACCCACGCCTATGATGCATGAAATAATTTAATCTAAGTCAAGAGCTAATTTTCAATTCTTTGCAACAACCTTAATTATTTCTTCCTCAGTTAGATATCGATTCAGTCTCTCAAGATTTTCTATCTGGCGTAATTTCTTTCGAAATTTTCTTATGAGACCTTCTGTATTGCGTTGCGCCATCATTTGTTACTTTAGGTCGTTTCATATTTTCCGAAGTCAACTTTTTAAAACAACGTAATTGTTGTTCAAAGCAGGTCTGCCATACCTTGGTAGTTTTCCCAAGATCTTGGGAATTCAATACCCCATTCAGGACAAAAACTAACTTTTTAAAAAAAAAAACACCCAAAACTCTAACATGTTTTCATAATCTTGGGAAATCTTGGGAGCTATTTTGACAAAATCTTGGGAATTTTAAAAATTGAGTGGTAGCCCTGGTTCAAAGTTAAAATTGACTATCAAAACAAACAAAAATCCCCAAACCTTCAGTGGATTTTAATTGTAGGCCTCATCTCATTTAATTGATTTTTAAAAAATGAACACAATTAATAATTTTGGTCATACTTTTACATCCTGTCTACTATGATTTTTTTTAAATTCTGGAGCTCTGAACTCACTGAAGTCACTTACGACTTACGGGGCATTATTAGTAGCCTACTAAGTAGGGCCTACTCTACTGACTACTGTGATGATGATAATATAAAGTTAAAAGATGACTTTAGGCGATGGATATAAATAATGATTAAATAAGTTAGTAAATAATTAAATAAGTTAGTAAATAATAAATAAGTCAAGTGAGTCAGTCTGGATCGGTCTAGCAGGCCACCTACGAACTCACCGCCACACCCCCCCCCCCCCCCCCCCCCCACCAACCGGATGACGCGATGGTCCTAGTCGATTTCGACGAACAACATCTCAGGGCAGCTGAATTCACCGGCGACGATGATGTCGCGTGGATGCTTACCGTTGATATAGCTGTAAGAACGTTGATGGATTTTTGGAGTTCGTCAAGGTCGCATTGGGTTCTTTTGGGCATATAGAAGGCACCAATGTAGAGGTCTTTCTTTTTCTTTTTTTTTTTTAAATGTAACCTTTGCCCATACTACTTCGCTGTGACAAGGAGCGGTTTTCCTCTGATGTGAGGGATCTGTGAATCATGATGAAGACGCCACCTGCCACCGCCTTATGTTGCGCAAACTCTGACAAAGACATTGCTAGTCTTATTCTTATACTAATGGCAAACACAACAGCCGCTCTGACTCTAGACTCAAGCTGCTACTCCATGTGTGCCACGCTGTTCTTTTATTTAACTTACCTGTAACCGACTCAGCGATCTTTATCAAATTAGTTAGCTAGCAGGCGTAGAGCTCTGTCAAATTAGCAAATTTACATTTAGAGACACTTCCTCACTGGAGTGGAACAATACTGAATGCGCTTTGACAATTTGGGACTGAGTAATAAGGTAACATGATGTAGGCGTTGGCCGGACTATTTTCCCCATTTTCGCAGTGGACTTATTTTTCCTCTCTACTTTCTCTTTTTGCACGTATTTAATATCTCACCTACTTTTATAACTTATTTTAAATATTTTTCTTTCACATTAGCCCATTAATCCCATTCCTCTTTTGCGGTCATCTCGGACACATCATTTCAGCTAAACTAAATGTCATTTTTATTTAATTCTGTTTTTACTGTTTGTTCGCTGATAAAGGATTGCTGACACTTTCATGTTCTGTTGCGTGTATTTTTTTCCCCACATGTTTTCCCATTCTTTGTCTAACTCATTCCCATTTTTCTAACCCGATTGCAGTCTGTCCCCTTTACTCTTACCGTGTTACAATTTCCAATTTTCTATTATTTTACACTCTGGGGATATCTGGGGAAATATTTTACACTTAAAATCTGGGGAATTTTTAAAAAATTGAGTGGCAGCAGTGTGTTAATTCTTGGAATCAAAAATATAGTAATTGAAACTGGAAACTGAAAATAAAGTTACTCGTCATTCCCCACTGATACTTGAACCATCTTTTCGTCAGAAGTAATATTAATATTTATGGTTATGATTACACAAATGGAAATGCGTTTAATGATATTTAAACATGTGATTAAGTTTAATAAAGTACAAAAAGCTAATACTAATAGTAGTAATAGTGAATCTTACTTAGAAGTATTATTTATACTTAGTTTATATTATATTATTTATAATTTATAGTATTATTTTTTGTTCATCTCATTTTCATTATTATTAATTATAAATTAATATTAATTGTTTTATTAATAATAATAAGTAGGCTTTCATATTATGGTTAGTTAAGAATAGATGGACATGACATAATAAAAATAATAATAACTAGTTAATAGTATACTATGACTAACTATAGTGTAATTATAATAATATTTGAAGTGTTGATGTAGCCTAGACTTCAGACACAAGGGCAATCAGGCACTTTGTCTTTGTAACTTTGTTAAAACTTTGTTGTTTTTGTATACTTTGTTGAAGTTTGTTTTAGTTATCTTAATCTTAACTTATTAAAAAAATAAGGCTACTAAATAATTTAATTATATTATATATTGGTAATAAAGTTATTCAGATCAGATCAGATGAGAATAGTTGTTTTGTCACTTGTTATTAACACTAACACTCTTGATTAGTTCAGTAGGCCTATGACACTATAGTTATTATTAATAGTACTTTAACTATAATAGCATATACTATACTTATACTTATACTATTATTTTATTTGTATTTTAGGCCTGTTACTATTATTATTATTAGTATTATATTAGTATTAGGCCTTATTATTATTAGTATTATATTAGGCTTGTTACCGGTACTATGAAAAATTAGTTTTACAAAAAGAGGTACTGGTAACTTAATTGTCTTATAATTATAAAGGTTTAATCAAAAGTTTACACCAAAGTTTACTCTATAATTTTAGCCATGATTAAATATTTTTCAACACCATACACTGCAATACAGAATGAGTCATTGGATTATCATAAACTTTCCTCAAATTTACATTCTATAATAGTTATAAAAATGGCTGGCAATGGGTGATTAAATCTCATTAATTATAGTACTTAATATTAATACACATCATCACATTATTGTCTTTCTCAAATGCTACACAATACATAGGGCTTATGTTTCCTGCCCCATCCAGAGGCAAATGAATAATTAAGTTTGGGATTTGTTATCTTAATTCTCATGAGATTTTTTTTTTTTTTTTTTACATATTTTGTTGTTTAGTTGTTGATTTATATTATAGCTGATTAAAAATATTGTAGCAACTTTTATTTTTTATAATCATTTGTTGAAATTTGTTCAAAATTTATTTGATTTCAGACATTAGACTCCCACTGATTTTGATAGAGTACAACATACGTTTTTGGAACTGCAAAAGTTACAAATAAATTATTGAAAAGAGCACAGAAAATGAATTCTAATCATAATTATGGATACTTTATACCTTCCACACCAACTCACAGTCACATTTCAATACCAAGTATTTTAGTGAAGATTATAAATGATTCAACATATGGAACTCTTTCACTGATTGAAATTATGAGAAAATTAAAACTCATGCAGTACCCATATGATTCAACATTTATATGGAAGATATTAAATGAAAACAGAGACAATTTTATTATCGATGAACAATCCAAAAAATCATCACAATTGAATGGAAAAGAGTCAGTTTGGGTGTTTACGAAGCTTACCTTATGTGATACACACTGCAGGAAAGGACAAAATGGTCGCAACCAAGAATGCAGAAGAGATTGCGGTGCCCTTCATCTATGCAGAACTTATTTGTTATGTTCACAAAAAGCATGCCCTTTTAACAATAGGCAAAACTGCATGTTCGGTCACAAATTCTTCTCCCCTCATAATTCTCCTCTTTTAAAGATGCATAATTTGGATTTGTTGGATAAAAATGACTTAAGGAAACTTTTTAGAAGACCTCCTTCAAGAAGCAAAACAACAATACCGCAGGTGTGTATTTACTATAATAAAGTTAACAGTACCGGATGCTCTAAAAAAAAATGCAAATCCTTACATTTGTGTGCAGATTTCATCCAAAGAAAGTGTCCTGGTGCCTGCTCCCGAAATCACAGACTTTCTGACCCTCAAGTGAAAAATATACTTGACCTTTTTGAAATTGACCAATCTTGGCAGGATGAGTCAATATTTGTTACTCTGGAGCGGTTTTACAGGTCCCGTAAGTATGGCGAAAAGTATTTTAAAAATGTGTTGCTTTCAATGATAATTAAGCTTAAGATTGTATGCAGTTTCTGGGTATTTTATGTCTAGTAAGGTTCTTTTTGTGGAGAAACCATGTAAATAAAATTTCTAATTAACTTGCTGTGCAATTGTTATATTTCTGAAGAAATAACTCTTTGGTAACATTATTTAGGATATAAAGCAAGCAGCAGTGATGATGAGGCTAGTTCTAATGCAAGCAGTGACCATGATGACTTAAATTTATCACGACGCATTCAAGGAGCTCAATCAGTTCCCAATTTGACCTCTGTAAAAACCTTTATTACAAATGATTCATCAGATGAGAAAGAAGGAGGTACATTTTTATAATGTTTTAATTAAAATATTTAATATCACATTTTATAAGCTAGGAAAGAAGAAAAAGTAAATCACAAACAAATAAGTATTTTATGTTTGAATTTTGTTGAACTGTCAGGAGTTAATTATCGTAATATTTTATGTAAGATTTTATTTTGATTTTCTTTATGTTAAAAACCAAGCAATGAGTATTTTCTAAGGATGTTAAATGATTATCAGGTTTTTGATAAACGATAACTATTTTTTCATTCTCACAAACCCATAATCAATTTTTTTTAAAGACATTTTAAAAGAGTTTTTATTTATTTTAAAAAATCTGAATTTTTAAAATTATTATATTAAAAAAAAACACATTATGTAATTATAATATAGGTAACTAGTAGATAATTTTTTCATTAACAGTGATGGTGGCAATGCGTAAACTTCACATCCTCTAAACTTACTTGACAAAACACGCCATCTAGATATAACCTGCCAAACAATGATGTTGGCGATGAGTGAATTTCCAATCTACTAAAGTTACTTGAAAAAATATACAATCAAGTAGAACAATGAACTATATTAATATTATAATGTCTCATCCCCTTCAAACCACAGATTTATTACTCATATTTAAATTGAAAATTTTTCTTAAAACAAAAGAAAATATTACACACCAAATGCACTTGCACTGTTTTTAAGAATCTCATTTAGTGCCGTTATCAGGAATTTTGTTTTTCATGCTATTGAACTAACAATCGCACCATAAGAATATACATGAACATACATTCATACCACCATATGAACATACATTCATACCACCATATCAACATACATTCATACCACCATATGAACATACATTCATACGACCACATGAACATACATTCATACCACCATATGAACATACATTCATACCACCATATGAACATACATTCATACGACCACATGAACATATATTCATACCACCATATGAACATACATTCATACCACCACATGAACATACATTAATACCACCATATGAACATACATTCATACCACCATATGAACATACATTCATACCACCATATGAACATACATTCATACCACCACATGAACATACATTCATACCACCACATGAACATACATTCATACCAACACATGAACATACATTCATACCACCACATGAACATACATTCATACGACCACATGAACATACATTCATACCACCACATGAACATACATTCATACCACCATATGAACATACATTCATACCACCATATGAACATACATTCATACCACCACATGAACATACATTCATACCACCACATGAACATACATTCATACCACCATATGAACATACATTCATATCACCACATGAACATACATTCATACCACCACATGAACATACATTCATACCACCATATGAACATACATTCATACCACCATATGAACATACATTCATACCGCCACATGAACATACATTCATACCACCACATGAACATACATTCATAACACCACATGAACATACATTCATAACACCACATGAACATACATTCATAACACCACATGAACATACATTCATACCACCACATGAACATACATTCATACCACCATATGTACATACATTAATACCACATTATGAACATACATTAATACCAAGAGAATCTTTAGTTGTGATATGTGGTATCAAAATTAGTGTTGCTTTGACATTTCTAAAAATAGATAAATAGTGCAGCTTTTGATCTTTTAAAATAGATCAGATTAATTTACAGAATAATTGGATATGCATTGTAAAAACTGATAATAGGTTTAATACTGGTTTCCTAGAACCGGTTTTTCAAAATAATCCAATATTTTTATCCCTAGCATTATTTTTTACTCAATATCTTTCAAACTGTTGATACAATATTCTAAAAGGAAGTAAACCCATTATAGCACATAGCCTTATAGCTAATAGCTGCATACCTGTTCAAAACCCACTGCTTGAAATGCTCTTTCAGATTCCAGACTGCCACAGAGTTCAGCTTGCCAGGGATGCAGTCAGTTACAAAAAGAGTTAAACCAAATGAAGACAACCATATTCTCCCTTTCGTCAGATGTGGAGGAGTTGAAAGTAAGATGTTTACTAAAGCACATCATGCCTACATCAACTACATGACGCCTTTCTCAGACATATTACAATGCTTTTTATTATTTCTTACATTTTTCTTGATTTCAAATTGTATTTCCTTATTTCAGATTAATTGTGTTTGTTTTTTTTAGAAACAGCCCTAAATACAATCCCCTTAATTATGCACATTTTCATTCTAACATTAAATATTTTTAACAAGATAAATAACATTTATCTTGGAGGTCAATTCTTGCAATATAAAAAAAATCTATATGAAAAATTGGAAATCAATAAATTTTAATTTTTCACTCTAAAATATAGCAAATTGCAATGTGATATCCTTTGTTCGATGATATTGATATGTGATTAATGATACATGATTACTGTGGAAAAAGTGAATTAAATATTTTTTTTACTAGATTAGTTTCAAACTTGTTAATCTTTGTTAACCTAGTAAACATTTAGTTGACAGTACAGCTGTCTTAAGAAGCCCTCATTGTCACTTGTTTTACTTGAGATAGATGGTTAACATTTATGACCAACAGAAAGCCAGTAAAAATGTAAGCAGAGGATGGCTTTCTCCAATATTCACTTAAATTACTACCCTTTAACCTAACAAAATCTCAGATCAGAAATAGAATGCGTGAAACCTAACAAAATCTCAGATCAGAAATAAAATGTGTTTGACCCAACAAAATCTCAGATGAAATAGAATGTGTTTTACCGATGATCCCCATGTTAACCTCTTCATTCAGCATTTTAATTATTCCCTCTGTAGAAAACAATCAACCGGCTGATTGAAACAGGAAACACTGCCAGTGAACTCACATTGTCTGGTAATCCTGTCTGCAAGCCAGCAAGCTATATCAGTTCATTAGGATCCCACGGGGACGTAAGAAGAAGCTCCCTTGAAAAAGAAGTCAGTGAAAGTGATGATTTTGATTTTCTCAACTAGATCAGAAGATGGAGAAGAAAAATTCTGTCTAGTAGATTTGAAACGTTTTATTTATAATCATATATATAAAATATATGTATTGCCTATAACAACCTTCTGAAATGCAAGATTTTCTAATTTTATTTGGGTATTTTAGATCTATGATGTTAATTTTACTTACGTTTTTTTATGAAACATAATGCCATAAGAGTAGCTTAGCTGGGGTCTTGGATTGCTTGTTGGTGAAGTGTGGTAAAGGCAATAATCACCAAGTGAGTTACCTCTTGGTCATAAACTCTACCTCCATTCCCCATTTATTTCACTTGTGTTTGGCTTTCTTACATGGAATTCCAATTTATTTATATATATATTTTTTAAATAGTTAAATGTAGCCAGATAATATAAATACCGGTTTATAGATTTAGGTCATTGCCTTTTATATACCACATGTGATACTTTCTTTATAATAGTATTATTGATTTTATATAGCAATTTTCAATTGTGATCGCCAGAAAAGTATACCTTTTTATTGTATGTCAGCTCAAAGCAATGCCAAGGAGAGCTCTTCTTTTTTTTTTTCCATGGGGAACATTTTCAAGTTGTTTTGTAAATCACATTACATGAGGGAATTGTTTCTACACAAAGACCGAGAGACTGAGATCGGGGATCACTTGAGTTTTTCAATTTCAAATAATTTGTTTTTCTTGTTTTGTATTATCTGCCGAAGAAAGCATTTTGCCGAAACGTCCTTTTAATTGTATTTTTTTTTTCAAGCCTACAAGCATCTTGTTTCACTATTTATTTAATCCACAGAGTTGGAAGAGTAGATGCTGTTTTCTTAAATTCAACTACAGTGAGATATGTTTCACGAGAAAAGGCTTAACACGAATAATCGGTTAGAACAAAAAAATAATAATGCGGTCCAGACGAAATACTAGGTATTTTCATATATTTTTCTTCTTTTAACACGAAATAAAATCGCTTAACACGAACAGATTTCGCTTCCTGTGGTGAACAAAATACATACACCTGCCGGCGAGAATGTATAGGGGTCTGAAATAAAAAAAGAGGCAGTGTCTCGTGTGAAAGAAGACTAACTCAAAATCAATAAAACAATGGACGATAAGAACAATTTGTTTACAATTTGACGCTTAAAAAGAAGAATGCAAAAAAAAATATCAGATTGGTTACCGTAAACTTCATCGAAAGAAATTTCGTCGACGGTAAATTGATAGACGGAAATTTGATAGAACGGAAATTTGGTAGAACCTTTTTTTCAGTTCAGGCGTTAAAATTTTCGTCGAATTTCTTTTTCAACGCACTACACTACGTTGCTAAACAAAAAATGCGTTCGAAAAGAAATTTTAAGCAAACGTTTTAACGTAACAACTGAAAAAAGGTTTCGACCAAATTTCCGTTCGATCAAATTACCGTCGATCAATTTACCGTCGACGAAATTTCTTTCCATCAAATTTCCGGATACGAACTCAAAATCAATAACACAATGGACGATAAGAACAATTTGTTTACAATTTGACGCTTAAAAAAAAAAAAAAAAAAAAAAAAAAAAATTATTTTACAAAAAAATAAATCCTTTTTTTTTTTTTAAATTAAAAAAAAAAATTATTATGTTGCAAAAAAATCAATCCTTTTTTTTTTAAATTAAAAAAAATAATAATTATTAAAGTTTATTAAGTTTTTATTCGTTTTATTGTTTTTTTATTAAATGTATACATACATACATATGTATGTCCAAAATGTATAATAATTTGAAATGTAAATAGTGTATCTAATATTATGTACTCTAATAAATGTAATTTTGTTGAGTATATATATATTTTTTGTATGCATCGTTTAACGCGAAATTCTTTTTGACAAAAAGAAAATATTTTGATCCCCTCAGTTTCATGTTAAACAATTTTCACGCTAGTGTCTTTATATTTAACAAATATTTTGAGAGACTATTTTGATGACAGCAGGGATGAAAAGAAATAAAAACTACACTGTTAGCTGGGTCTGTGGAATAAGCATCTAAAATAAAAAGTAGCATGGGAAATAAACAGTCTAAAAAGTGTACCAAAACAAGAAATTTTCATTTGTCGGTCCTGAAATGTCACCATAAGTTGACTCTAACTCATTGTAGGGGATATGGATAAATATTAAGGGGGGGGGGGGGGGCATGAGGTTCAGGCAAAGTTTTGACAGCCTAAATGCCTAAAGACCTCTCTATTCTTAATCAGGCACGTTAAATACAACCATGCACAACAATAGAAACATTTAATGCCAGATATATCAATGCCAAATTTATGTTTTCACACCAGACTTTGATATCCAGATGGTAGAAGAAAGGTTCCTTGACATTTCAGAAATAACGACTCTAATTCATCGCTAGTTGAAACACTGGCATATCCATGTTATGAATACTGAGAAAAGATTGGCACTGGGCCTTGTATATCCATATTATGAATACTGAGAAAAGATTGGGACATATAAGGGACCATCCAAATGGTGTCACGTGTCTAGTGGGGGGGGGGGGTTTCGGTTTACGAATTTGCGATAAAAGGTTCTGATTTTTATTTTACAAATTTGTGATGATTGGGTTGGGGGGGGGGGTGTCAGTACTCTGATGAATTAGGGGGACATCATTTATGGACGGCCCCCAAATCACTTAGATGTAGAAGAATGATATAATGCACTAACAATATGTTGAAAAGTAATGTAGATACAAAAGAATTGCATCGATCGATCTGACATTGACTCAAACATATTTGATTGAGTTTATCTCCCAATCGCTAGCGGGACGTCTATTCATTCAGTATATGAAACGATGTCTGCTGCAATGTATACCTGGCTCAAGTGAAGGGAGGCAACTGGATTCTGAAATGAGCAAGTAAGGATACTAACCGTCGGCAGCACTTTATTCATTACAAGGATGCTAACAGTACTAATCAGTACTAACTGTACCTTACAGCACTTTTGTCATTTCATTGATACTAACATTACTGAAATATATCAATACTCTTAGGAGATCGAGAGTCAATCTCTTAGGACCCCGGCCATGGAACATGGCCTAGTAGTCCCTAAGGGCTCCGGCCATGCAACACGGTCTCGAGTAGGGGCGTTGGGCAGTTCGTTTCCATTCATTAGGGGACAATTTTGCGTCACCACCCCCCCCCCCTTTGCCCAATGAGTCATTGCGTACTAACAGTACTAATTAGTTCTAACTGTAACTTACAACACTTTGGTCATTTCATTGTTATTTGTAAACACCACTGATGATGTTAAAATTGTTACATTAAGTTATTTTTTTTTTTTTTTAAATGTACCTCTTTTTTATATTTTTTTCTTCTATATTTTGAGGACCCACGATCAATTGATCCTCTGAAACTTAATGTGTCCTCATTGTCATTGACCCACGTCAATGCCACCTGTTTTCTAACACTGACCTCAACATTTTGTGCGGTCCTTGCAGACCTTGACCTTGCTTGACAGCATTTGACTTTCACTCGTGCTAACCGACGTATTTAAGGTGCAGTGTTTTAATATTGCCTGCATAATTTGCATGTTTTAAGATAATAGATTCATCCATTCATCACTGTGCTTGGATTCCAAGCTGCTGTGGATCTTTTTCCATATCATCCATCCATCTAAGCCTAGGTCTGCCTTTGAGCCATTTTCCTCGGGGGGTTTGGTTGTGCACCCTCTCCACTCCCCTGTCATTGGGCATTTTTTCTAAGTGTCCCGCCCAGCATTGCCTGCCCCTTTTTTATTCCTGCTGGTAGCGTGGGATCCTGATATACACCATACAATTCGTGGATGGTTCGAATCTAATCTATTCATCAACTCTTGACAAACAAACTCCAGGTATATAATGCCATAAGAGTAGCCATGATGGGGTCTTTGCATGTTGCTAAGCAAGTTTCACAAAATGGCGACGGTGTCGCTTTATGCCAGGCCCGCCCCCCCCCCCCCACCCCCCCACCCCCTTTCTTGATTTAGAATCTCTCGCACCCTCATTCCGATTTCAAAACATTTCCCAAACACCCCCCCCCCCTGATAGAATTCTTTAAAAAATTAAAATAAACCTGGGTGGGGGGGGGCTTGCCGCACCCCATGACACTGCCCACAGCACCCCTTGGTTAAGAGACCCTTCTTTATGCCCATGCACTGATGAAAAAAATTGTTTAAATAGACTTGTGCAAAAAAAAAAAAAACGTTAAATTTGTTTGTGAATAAAACCCATTCACACAGTCTAGGGTCTTGTTGCCTTCATTTATATTAAGATTTATTTATAAAAATAAATGTGTTGGAGGCCGCGCTATGTACACACACGCTACACACTGGCACTATGTGTGTTCATGCCATGACACTCGCTACACACTGGAATAATGTGTGTTCATGTCATGACACCCGCTACACACTGGAACAATGTGTGTTCATGCCATGACACACGCTACATACTGGAACAATGTGTGTTCATACCATGACACACGCTACACACTGGAACAATGTGTGTTCATGCCATGACACAAAACGCTACACACTGGGACAATGTGTGTTCATGCCAAGACACACGCTACATACTGGAACAATGTGTGTTCATGCCATGACACAAAACGCTACACACTGGGACAATGTGTGTTCATGCCAAGACACACGCTACACACTGGAACAATGTGTGTTCATGCCATGACACACTCTACACACTGGAACAATGTGTGTTCATGCCATGTGGCGTCTTTTGGAATATTTGTTTATGGATTATAACTATAACGTTAAAGTATAGCGCAACGCTTGTTGTGTTTTACTGTCGTCACATTACGCTTCCGGTCTGACTCGTGGACTGCTTCCATCTCTGGCTGCTTCTCATTCAGCGTAATCAGTATTGAGAGTATATTATATATTACACATAATTTTATATGTTTGAAAGAAGGCTGCGACTATTCGCACCCGGGTATCAGAAGTGAGAGGTTGGCATAAAAAAAAAAACTATTTAAGATATTATTGTTGGGTTTGTCAGACAAAATGAGGTATCAAATGAAAGATAATTTAATGGACTATGACTATATGTTTGTAAACTTACTTCTTCAGTTTAACTAAAATAAACTACCACAAATGACACCCAAATGGGATTTAGTCCAAAGGGACCCGGGTACGCATAGCCGGCGGCAGATAAGAATAAACAATAATCGTTGCGGTCCTGCCTCAGACAAATTCTTTGATTTACCGGTAAATTAAAAATGGTAATGAAGCCTTGTTTACATCCCACGGGTGATGAAACATTGGACAAATTTTCCTTTATGATAAAGGATAAGAAACCACCGGATACAAATTGCTCAGTGCGGTAGACGGCTGGGCAACGTGCGGCTTATGTCATTTTGGTTTACACAAGTCGTCGAAACGCGCGTCTAATATAGTGATGCGTTTTTTATGCGGTGCGTCTCAGTATATAGGGATGCGTCTCATATGCGCACAAATACGGTAGTAATAATAATCCAGATCGATGGCAGCACTCCAGGCATGCATGCGTCAGTTGTCCTCCTACAAATGTTCTACAACGTACCTTGTGTTGAAGTCGTCGAGGCGAGCCTGTGGCTTGGCGATCTCTCAAAATAGATTTCTACTTCCACTTACGAGCTTGTAGGATTGTGGCAAAATATTACCGCTTCCTTTCTTCCAACAAAAAGAAAAAACTCGACAATCTTAGGCCCACTAACAACTCTACACCTCATCCAACTGTCACAGGCAACAACTTAGTCGTGTGCATCCCCCCTGAACTTCCACTCTCTGATGACGAAAGGTCGCTACTTTCTAAGGGTCTCAAATTTATTCCTCTGAAACCATCTTGCGACCGATATCTACTTCTTTCGGATTCCCACCGCTACTTTCGTTCCTTGAGGCTTCAGTTTCACTTCGGTGGGAAAAGTACCGACCTCCCCGAAGACGAGATTTTTCCATTTCATAGGGAACGCAAATCTACTTGGACACCACCTTCTAATCAATCTAAAGCTTTAGACTTGTATATAAAGAGCACGGAACATGACATCAAGAACCTCTCTTTACCTCCACTCCGGAAATCCAATCTTTCTAAAAGAGAATCACTCGCACTCTCTAAGCTGCGCAGTCGGAAAGATATCGTCATCAAACCAGCTGATAAGGGGGGAGCTGTTGTGGTGTGGGACAGAGATCTGTACATCAAGGAGGCTCATAGGCAACTAGAAGACAGCCAGTTCTACCAACCGAGGACCAACAACCCTATCACCAAACATAACGACATGGTGAAAGGGACTATCAAGAAAATGATTGCAGAATCAGCGCTCCCCAAATCGGCCTCTGCCCTACACATCTTCGATAGTGACCTCGGTAAGCCATGCTTCTACCTACTTCCCAAAATTCATAAGTATGGTAACCCTGGCAGACCCATTGTCTCAGCATGCTCTTGCCCCACCGAACATATCTCGGAATTCCTTGATGGAGTTTTTCAACCCATCGTTGCCTCACTGCCTACTTACATTAAGGACACCAACCATGCTCTTCAAACCTTTGAATCCATCATAATCCCTCCTGAAAAGAAACATCATCTATTTCTTCTTGATGTATGTTCTCTATACACTTCCATCCCCCACACTGACGGTCTCTTAGCTCTCAAATTCTTTCTCGAGACTAGACCCCACCCATCTATACCCACCAACACCCTCCTCAGATTGGCTGAACTAGTCCTCACCCTCAATTCGTTTGAGTTTGGTGGCCAATTCTTTGACCAAATCAGTGGTGTTGCTATGGGGACTAAAATGGGACCCAGCTATGCTTGCTTGTTCATGGGGCATTTCGAACACTTGGTCGAAAGCAGCTATACTGGACGCCTCCCTGAATTCTATAAGAGGTACATAGATGATGGTATAGGGGTCACCACTATGGAGAGGAGTGAACTTGACCTGTTCATTAACTTTGTAGGCTCCTTTCACCCCTCCATTAAATTCACATCTCTTATCTCTGAGACCTCAGTCAATTTCTTAGACATTACAGTCACTCTTCACAAAGACACCCTACACACCTCTGCCTACTTTAAGCCAACTGACAGCCATAGCTATCTACTCTACTCTTCATCCCACCCTAAATCCTGTAAGGACTCTATTGCTTTCTCTCAATTACTTCGTCTTCGTCGACTTTGTCGGTCGGATGAGGACTTTTGGGACAAGGCACTTGAAATGATAGACTTTTTCCGGTGTAGGTCTTCCCCGGAGACAGTACTTTCATCAGCCCTCCAAAGGGTTAAGAATATTACACGTGCTGATGCCTTCAGGCCACGTCTGAGCGACAATGTTGACAGGACAAAACTCATTTTAACTTATCACCCTCACAATCTGATTGCTAAACGTGTTTTCCTTAAACATCGATCTATACTACTCGCAGACACTGACACTGGAGAAATTTTCTCTTCCCCACCTCTCATTGTTTTCAGACAGGATAAAAATCTGAGAGACCTGCTTGTACGCAGTCGTATCAATGCTCCCCCCTCCCACTTTGGGACCAAGCCGTGTGGACGCAGTCGTTGCAACACGTGCCCTTTTGTCGTCCAGATTGAACGCATACGTTTCCCCAAGGGCAGTTTTCAGATACGCGACGGTTTCTTCTGTACTAGCCGCAACGTTATCTACGCCATTGTCTGCACCCGCTGTCAGATGACATACATAGGGGAGACTGGACGCCGTCTCTCGGACAGGTGTACCGAACTCCTCCGAAACATTACACAAGATAAACAGTGTCCCGTCTCCAAACACTTCAATAGTAGCGACCACCAGGGCAAGGCGGACTTTTCAATAAGTGCGATTGTGGCTAGCACTAACACCGCCAGCCGGGTCAATTTGGAACACAGACTTATCCTGACTTACGGCACTTTGACGCCAGATGGGATTAATGTTATGTCTCTGTTCACAGCTTGACCCTAGCTCCGCCCCTCCACGTTCTGACCTATCACAGTGAACATTTTTCTCCCCCCCCCTTTTTTTTTTTCGCCGCTGCTTATTTAAACCCTCACTCATTTTCCTTCTGCCACACTTCTATTGCTGCCCACAGATACTACTTACCAGCTAAGTGCTATTTCTTATTTTCTTATTTTTATAACGTTTTTTCTGTAGTTTTGTTCACTGACGAAGGCTTTCTGCCGACACGTTCGCTGTTTTGTTGCGTTTATTTTTTCAGGTTTAACCCTACTCTGTTTTACTAATTTTATTTTGGCAAAATATTACCTTGATAAGCTGACAGTAAAAATATTACCTGGATGTGCTGACAGTAAAAATATTACCTGGATGAGCTGAACGTTAAAATATTACCTCGATGTGCTGACAGTTAAAACATTACCTTGATGTGCCGACAGTTAAAACATTACCTTGATGTGCCGACAGTTAAAATATTACCTGGATGTGCCGACAGTTAAACTTAAACTGTACAAAGAAAAAAAAAAACAACGTGTTTAAAAAAAACAACAAAAAAACAATTTGTAAAAATATTATTTTAAAATGCGGTATTAATATTCCTAAATTCTAATTCAGTAATGGTCTTAATACAAAGATCAAATACAGAGTTACCACTAATGACAATGAGACTCAAGTTTGGTTTAGGTGGTCACAGAAAAGAATAGGCCTACAGACTCCGTGACTTAACTCCAAGTTCGGACTTAAAACTCAAATTAAATTGACTTGCCGAGACACCAGGGGCGGGGTGCAATGTGCTTAGGGTGTCATCAACGATCTTCAAAAAATATTTAAAAAATCATTGCTTGTAAGTGTAAGTGTAAGCACCATGGAAGAAAAAAAAAATTTCTGATCTAAAGTCTAGAAAAAAATCAAATGTCATCTGTAGGCTGAGTATTCATACTGCCCCCGGTAGGCTGATTGTTCATACTGCCCCCGGTAGGCTGATTGTTCGTACTGCCCCCGGTAGGCTGATTGTTCATACTGCATCCGGTAGGCTGAGTATTCATACTGCCCCCGGTAGGCTGATTGTTCATACTGCATCCGGTAGGCTAATTATTCATATTTCCCACAGTAGGCAATTTGTTCATAAAGTTAAGTATCTTTAAGTACTGTTAAATTCAAGTTGAGAAAAAACAATATTATTTTTCATTGTTTAAAGGAAAAAAAAAAAAAAGGAGATAAGAAAGTCATGACCCAATTCTCAGTTTCCCCCTGCACAAATTATGAGTCATACTGAGAAGAGATCCCACAGTAGGCAATTTGTTCATAAAGTTAAGTATCTTTAAGTACTGTTAAATTCAAATTGAGAAAAAACAATATTATTTTTCATTGTTTAAAGGAAAAAAAAAAAAAGGAGATAAGAAAGTCATGACCCAATTCTCAGTTTCCCCCTGCACAAATTATGAGTCATACTGAGAAGAGGCGCCAACGTTAAGCCTGTCCGCTTTGATAAATAAAACAAATCAGGTGCGAGTACATCAATTTAAAAATACATATACATTTTACATGATTTATAAGAAAAACTTTGTTGACAAGGGTTGTTTAATTCTTCTTTATTAGGTATTTTTAACTCCTTCTGTAAGAGAACAGTTTGGTCTCTCTGAGTCTTCTGGCGCATTTCCCCCCCCCCCTAAATTACTTGTAAGCGTATCCCTAGTATGTTGCATGTGCACCGTAGCTCTGTTGGCCGTAGTTTGGCTAGTGTATCCCTAGGCCCTAGTAAGTTGCATGTGTACCTTAGTTCTGTTGGCCGTAGTTTGGCTAGTGTGTTCGAAGTATGTTGCATGTGTACGGTAACGTAGATCTGTATGCCATAGTTTGGCTGCATGCCCAACTAATTTTTTGATACGTCTTCTTTAGGCGTAAGGAAAAGACTTTGAATGCAATTATTATCAATTATGATGAATGTGTGTGGTAATTCGAAACTAGGCAGGGGTATAGGAAGTGGTGTGCGGAGGGGGTCGGCAAAGTTGTTTTGTGTGTGTGTGGTATTTTTTTTTTTTTTTTTGGGTTGGGGGGGGGGGGTGGCAAAGAAAAAAAATGAAGAAAAAAAGGTGCGAAAGAAATAAAGAATTGATTCATTTTTATTTTCCAAAATTATATTTGAATTTTTAAAAATCCAATCAAAGATTAGATAATCCAGCATCAGCAGCGATCCACAATATAATATTATGCCTGTAAACAAAGTCGTAGCTAGGGTTAATGTCGCGAATGGCAGGTGAAGTTTTTTGCCGCCACCTCAACTAAAAATAAACCAAAACACTGAGCAGTTGGCCGAAAATGTCACCCCTTCATAAAAAAAGAACACACCCTCTGCAGCCTGCTTCCTACGCCACTGTTTAAAACTACAAATGGCGTTGGAGTCGTATTAATAAATCTAGTCATCACGCGCTTGGATTTGGGGCATCGGGAGAATGTGGACACCATTCAAATCCTCGCTACGCCTCTTTTCTAGAACTCAGCTGACTCGCCCCTCCAAGTCAGAACTTTCCTAAAATTACATAAAAAAGGGAACTGAAACTGAAATTTATTTGCATGTACACTGGTATATAAATTGAGTTACTTACTGACACTTAAATTAAAACATTGTAGCAATATCCAGCAGTACCGGTACTGACCTTTTTTGTTTTGTTTATAAACATTTTAATTCTGGTTATTATTAAATTTTTTAAAACTAACCAGTGAGTGTAATAATAATAATAATAATAATATAGTTTAGTATAGGCTAAGACTACGTTTATGTTGTCAGATGTGAACCAGGCCGTTTCCATAGTGACCTTTGTCTGTCCTCGGTGTTCAAAAGAAGCCAAAATGTAAGCACAAAATACAATTATACAATTTTAATTTTTACCAACTGATTTACTGCTCTACTAACTTATTCCAAAAAACTGGCAGTTGTGTTCGTTTTCCCAGAAATGAGTGAGAAGTGAGAAGGCGGGAAACGGTAGTCCGGTAGTTCAAGTGGGGCCTTGTGTTTAAAAAGTGGGCCTGAGCCTGAGTTGGCAACAACAAATTTCTAGTTCTAGTTCTGGCCAACTCAAATCAACTATGAACGCAACGCTAGAATAACTACAGACTACAGGATCAAATCAAATGTGACATATTTATAAATAATAAATAACATTATTGAAGCACTGTCCAGTCTACTTTCTACTATTCCACGTAGACGTAGAGAGTTGTCAATGGTAATCAATAGCCTAGTTACTAAGTTAGTCTAAGTAAGTGGACAAAAAATCGAGGTTAGTATCTATAACTGTGGTTTCGAAAAATAAATATGTACGACAAAAAAAAATAAATAAATAGCCATATCAATATCATTATCAGTGTGAGGGTAATATTTACAAGAACGGAACTCATTTATTTTCCTAAATAAACATGAAAAATTGCCTTCTGTAGGCTTAATAAATAATAAGCTTATAATATACTTAAAATGAAATGTGATAGGGAAGCGTTATATTCGCAGTCGGCTGCGCATAACCACTTCGAATGTGATTTATACTTTTCTGTTTAATTATTAATAGTACGAATAGGTCTAGGCCTGCAGTATACATCATGTCTTAATTCCAACATTGCCAACATGTCCTAGTAGTAGTGTTATTGCTAAAAAAAAAATTTAATCTCTTCTAGTCTAGCTTTATTTAGTGTTGAAGAAAAATGACTTATCCTATCTATGAATAATTATGCCATGAAATATAGCCTATGTAACATATACCATATACTTTACCATAATCAGATTTATCTGCCTTGTAAATTGTAATTGTAAGCCTAAAATAATTTTGAAAGTAAGACGCCTTTTGAATTAGCATATTAGTGTTTTGTGGAATACCCAACTGAAGTTAAATAGCCTACTCAGTACCAGTATTTTATTATAATGACTACTACTACTAAAATTTGCATTTAACTGTGTAAAAAAAAAAAGCTGTAAATTAACAACCTAAGTTATTAAATTTAAATAAATATTATTCTTTCTGTTTTTTCCCCCCAGAATTTGGTTTTAAAGTACAGTTAGTTCAACTGATTAGGCCCATAATTAGCACAGGTTTTTGACAGCTGATTTTTGTCATAATTAATTCAAGGAAGGGAAAAATGACTTCAAATGGACGTTATGGTGGTGCTAGTCCTAGCCATAGGAGTCAATCTAAAATACCAACGCCAACACTAACACCAAGTGTTTTAGTGAAAATTATTAATGACTCTAGTCATGGTTGTCTAAATATAAAAGAAATTACTGATGCCTTATGTATCCATAAACCATCTGATCAAGAATATCTATGGAAGGTATTGAATAATAAAAAAGACAATTTCATTATTGAGGAACAAAGTAAAAGTAAAAGAGCATCTCAACTGAATGGTAGTGAGTTAGTGTATGTTTTTACAAAGCTTACCTTATGTGAGACACACTGCCGACAAGCAGGTAATGGCCATAACAGACATTGCAATGGACGCTGCGAAGATCTTCATCTTTGCAGAACCTTTCTCCTTTGTACGCAAGATGCATGCCCTTTTAGTAAGAAACGTAATTGCATGTTCGGTCATGAATTTTATTCACGTCATAATGCCCCTCTGTTAGAGAAGCATAATTTGGACAGATTGGATGACGATGAATTGCGAAGACTTTTTAGAAGACCATCTTCAAGAAGTAAAACAACTATGCCTCAAGTGTGTAAATACTATAATGATGTCAAGGGGAAAAGATGTGCTAATGAAAAATGCAAATCATTGCACTTGTGCTCTGATTTCATTGAAGATCAATGCTTTGATAACTGCCCACGAAATCACAATCTTGCTGACAAACGAGTCACAAAAATACTTGATCTTTTTGGAATTGACAGTTCTTGGAGAGAGCCTTTACTTTTAGAACATTTGCAGAGATATAATCATACACGTAAGTTTAATTTGTGAAAGTGTTTTTAGTTTTGATATTTTAATAAATAAATCAACAATGTATCATGAATGTTTTTAATGAGTAAATATAGCTATTTCTAAATGTCACAAATTTAAACATCTCTATAGTTTTTCTGCCGCTTAATGTAATAATTTCGATTTAACAAGGTAAATATTTACATTTTATTCTAGGAAAAAAATCATGGAACATAAGCAATAAAATAATTGTACAGTTGGGTCCTAGGCAGAGTAGTTGGCAGAGTAGTTTAATTTGTGAAAGTGTTTTTAGTTTTGATATTTTAATAAATAAATCAACAATGTATCATGAATGTTTTTAATGAGTAAATATAGCTATTTCTAAATGTCACAAATTTAAAGATCTCTATAGTTTTTTTTGCCGCTTAATGTAATAATTTCGATTTAACAAGGTAAATATTTACATTTTATTCTAGGAAAAAAATCATGGAACATAAGCAATAAAATAATTGCACAGTTGGGTCCTAGGCAGAGTAGTTGTACTTCGATTAACTAAAAAAAATGTGCAAGAGAGAATCCTTTAGAAATAAAGCTAATTAATACTTAATAAAGAAAATAACTTTTATTAGTTAATGAAAAGTTTTTGCTTGCTTCTATATCTTAAAAGTTAAGTCAGATATTGAAAAATTTGAGATACCATACATGAAAATATTTTATCAGTAGGTATTTAATTATGCTTATTGATTTTATCTTTTTTCATCTTAAATTTTTTAAAATGCATTGTAAAATTTTAAAATAAATTTATTTTGAAAATGCTTAATTAAATATACTTTCATTAATTAGGACATCAAGCAGGCAGCAGTGATGACGATATTAGCTCTTGTGATGGCAGTGAATATTATAACTCTTTTCCTCCATCCCTTCAAGGAGCAACATCTGTACCAAATCTAACTTATGTAAAGTGTCACTGTAAAAGTTCGACCAGTGAAAAAGAAGGTAATTTATTCAAATACAACTCTTGATCAGGAAACAGTGATTTCTAAAAAAAAAGTCATTTTGTTGTCACAATTTTTTAGGCACTCTTCTTTTTGCTACCAAGTATTTAAGTTTAACTACCTTACTTTAATTTAAATCAGTGAACGATTAACTTAAAAGTCCATGGGACGAACATCTATTTGGGTTAAAAAATATTCAATTATTTAAAAAAAAAATTGTGTGAAATTGAGCTTACAAGATTTATTTATCAAAATAAATAGAAATGTATTTTGATTGCATTGAACATACTTGTTTCAGTCTTGAACGTCCTTGTCTTAGGTTTTGTTGTTACCGGTAACTTAAACTGGTGTGAAGCAAGGTGTTCGGTGAATCACTGTGTGGTCAGATTAGCTGTAACTGTCAATTTCTGGAGTATTTGTTGGCACTTTGAATATAGACTGGACTTTTATTCCAAAGCAGAGTTCTCTGCTTTTTTTTCAAGATAATGTCTTAATGTCTGAAATTACATTATGTACAGTGGTAAATGACATCTCAGACAAATCCATCTCTAGCAAATTATTGAATTAAGGGGAGAAAAAAAGTAAGGGAGGTAACTAAGTAGTACTTGTACACTTTTCCTAGGACATTTAACAAATAGTGGCATTAGAGAGACTACTATTTTTTTTTTTATTTGATGTAATTTTAAGGTCATCTTCCGGTCTACCCCTTCTTTATATTAACAACTTTTGTAAAATGGTGTCTCTTATGTGTTCTCAGATAATAGGCTGTCACACAGCACAGTTTGTCCAGGATGTAATAAGCTACAACAAGAAGTTGACCAGCTAAAGAAGGACATGTTCTCACTGATGACAGATGTAGAGGAATTAAAAGTAATGTATCTTGTGCTCTCAAACTTTAAAAAAAATTTACCTTAATTCCTTTCAATTATTATTACTCACATTATATAAACTGGCAGCATTATGTTTCTATCATTAGGTCAATAGTTACAAATTGAAAGCTTTCCAGCCTATTAGCATTTACTAATAATAATACTATAAAATGCTTGTTTCTTAATATGGAAAATGGAGGCTGTAATTCATGCATCTCTTTTATCAAACCAAATTTACACTCGATTTTAGATAAATAAATAATAATATATACATGTGTAATATTGTGTTTAATTTATTGACCTTCAACACAGAAGGAGTACTCATTAACTGTAGACTATATTTGAGGTTAATGAGTACCACATTTCACTATTTAATGTAGAATTCTTAATTTTCTCTGCAGAAAGATATACAAAAAAACCAGGACTAATGAATCAGGAAACTCGCCCAGTGAGTGTACTCTTGTATGGTAATCCAATATGCAAGCCAGCTAGCTTAAATTTATTTTCATCTCATTCAGAGACTGGAAAATCTCAGCAAAAAGGGACTAGAGAAGAAGATGAGTTTGATTCTGACTAAAGATTGTGGCCATTGACTTTGAAACTCATTTTCTGATTGTGAATATTTTCAAAAGAATTTGAAAAGGATCTATAGCAATGATCTCTAATTAATAGTGGAACAAATAATTTTAGGCTTTAAAAAAAAATACAGATCACTTAAAAGGATGTTTCAGCTAATGCCTTCTTTTGCAGACAATACAAAATACATGCATAGGAGCCAAAATGATCAATAAATTGATCGTGGGCCCTTAAGATATAGAAGAAGAAGAAGAAGAAGAAGAAAACAAATGATTTAAAATTGAAAAACTTAAGTGTTTACAGATCACAATGTCGCTTTGTCAGTCTCTGTGTAGAAACTAAGGTTTGAACGGATCACAATGTAGCTTTGTGAGTCTCTGTGTAGAAACTAAGGTTTGAACGGATCACAATGTAGCTTTGTCAGTCTCTGTGTAGAAACTAAGGTTTGAACGGATCACAATGTAGCTTTTTCAGTCTCTGTGTAGAAACTAAGGTTTGAACGGATCACAATGTAGCTTTTTCAGTCTCTGTGGTGTAGAAACTAAATAATTTGTAAAATATAACACCTTTTTTGATTGATTTTAATATGTTACAATTTTTATCTTGGTACAACGTATATGAATTTATCATGAGATTTATTCTTTAGAAAGAAAAGTGTTATACAAACTTTGTTTTGTTAAATGGGAAAAATAGTTTTGCAGATAGTAAAATACTTTAAAAATGTGCAACATTAATACTTAAGCTCTCATGGTTCAGTATATACAAACCACCATATGTCACAAAGCTTGTGGGCTAAAAAAACTAAATAATATCAGCTATAAGTAGTACCGTATATTAACAGTTAAATGTAATTGGATTTTTAAAATAATGTAACAATTTGTTAATTTGCTTTCATGTGTTAATCTTTTAATGTCACCATTAATATCTCTTAAACATTGTGCTCTAAGTACCGGGTACAGCAATGTTTCCCTCTACTTTAAATTTATATACCACAAAAAAAAATTTGTATGGCAGTGACAGAGCATGTAAAAATGTATTCATCACTAACCTTGAGAAGTTCTAACAGGTAACATGCTATCTATTTTGAAGCCATTTTTTCATGCTTACTGGGTTTGTAACAAAAAATTATTAAAATTTTTCCAAATATTAATTATAAATCCAAGTCCATGACCAATGATGCTTTAACCAGGCATGAATAATTTAAAAGAAAATTGCAGATACCAGATACAGTAGACATTGTTACAAATATCCTTGAGTTCATACCAGAAATGAACTTTCAAAGTGATGGAAAGATAATAATTTTAGAACATTTTCAAATTAAAATGTATAATTTTTTGAACATTTATGTGTAATGAACATTTTAGATAATGGTAGGGTGATAAAACTTAGAAAGAATGTCAAATGACAGAGAAGTGAAGAGGGTGCACTACCAAAACCCAAGAGGAAAATGGACAAAAGGCAGATCTTTAGGTTAGATGGACGGATGATAAGGAGAGGGAATCCAAACATGGAAATTCTGAGTGAAAGGATGTGATGAAGCAAGCCAAAGCTCTATGTGAGCTGTAGTGACACAAGGATGGATGGATGGTCTGAGTGGAAGGAAGAGGTGAGGCAGATCAAAGCTCTAGGTGAGCTGTAGTGACACAAGGATGGATGGATGGTCTGAGTGGAAGGAAGAGGTGAGGCAGGTCAAAGCTCTAGGTGAGCTGTAGTGAAACAAGGATGGATGGATGGTCTGAGTGGAAGGAAGAGGTGAGGCAGGTCAACAATACATTTCAAGTTCTGCCAATACAAATTAGCTAACTTTAAGTAAGTCTAATTAGACTTTATCTTCTCACATAAATTTTCACACTGAACATAAATATGAGAGAACTAAAAGTTAATTTCATTGGTTGTAAACAAAGCGAGAAAACAAGATGTCCAAAGTGATTTATTTAAAATATGGATTAGGATGAAATTTAAAACATCAAATCCTTACTTTTCTTTTTAATGTTACCGTTAGGAAATTACTTAAGGATAGAATGTTAAGTTTTTAGAGATTCAAAAAACTTTGTTATGTCATTCAAGTTAATACATTTAACAATGATGTAATTGAATATTTTTATATTTGTAGCTCCATTCCATTTATTAAACAATTCTGTTAAATAGGTAATTTAAAAAATTGTGTTATTTTTAAATAATTAAAATAAAAGAAGTGTTTATTAGAAATCCTAGTTAAAACAATCCCAAAGCATAATGTGAGGGGGGGGGGTGTTTGATCTACATGCTCAGTTTACATCTCTTTGCGAACAGCAGAGGTGCATTTTGTGAAATAATTTGAAAACTCATATAAATTTAAATGAGCACTGTGGCTAGAAGTTTAGTTGTGGTAATGTTTAAACTATTTCCACTAAGGAAAGATTTAAAAGAAAATGGTTGGGAAATTTAAAGAGTTATAACAATAAAAAAGAGTTATAACAATAAAATAACAACCATGAACAAACAAATCTTTACATTAATTACCTGAATCTTAGTAACCAAACCTGCACATTTTATTTCTAATTTGTTATTGTTCCTAATCAGTATTATTCTCATTTTGAGATTAGTGTCCATCACCTCTGTCACAATGTGGCTTGTCTAATTGATTTTAAGGATTTATAAAATGTGATTTTAAAAAGAAATCATTTAGAGCATATTTCTATACCAACTTCATTAACATTTTTTTTCTTTAAGTGTTTAATTAGCCTTAAGAATAATAAATTTAATCCGTGTCTTAGTTAATAATACTAATCAACCAATGAGTACAATTTTTGTGGATACCTGTACTGTATATCTTCCCCAATATTGTTAGTGATCAGTTAACTCTATCAAATTTAATATTTAAGTTTGAAAAATTCCTTCTACGTAATTTAAGCATGCTCACTGCTTCAAAGTTTAAGATTATCTGTTATTTAGGTAGTGATGATGCGTTTTTGATAAAATAGTTTTTTAAAATGTACACGCATATTTCCTACCCCAATAGGTATGTACCTACGTGGGTTAAATGAACTATGTACCTACGTGGGTTAAATATTTACCAAATTTATTCCTTGATCTGAAGCGTATCTTGTGCTGCCTGGGGCAAAATGAAAGTATCGGAATTAAACCCCCCCCCCCCAATAGAGTTTAATAAAAATTAATAAAATCATTCTCGGGATTGTTCTTGTTTGGATAAGTGGTGAGTGTTTCATTGATGAATGCTAGTTTGGCTATGAAGTTTTGCTGCACTGATTGAAGTGATTGACTTAAATGGCATTTATAAATTTAATAAAATCATATTTTGGAATGGACGATAAGTGAAAACTTGTTAAAGGGATACAAAGCTAAAATTTGGTGTGTTTTATTAACAATTTAAAAAGCAATCAATTATATTTATTAACTTTACTTTTAACTTATTTTAAGAGTTAAGAAGGGGAAACCACATTATCCATTCGGTCACGCACGGGGTGCTCACCGCACTACGGTTATTTAATCAAAGAAACTTACAGCCAGTGTTTCAGAAATTTTGGGGGGGGGGGGGGGGGGGGGGCGCCCTCCCATTTTTGGGAGAGCGGGGCCTGGGGTGAAAAGTTTTTTTTNGGAATATAGCTAAAAGAAACCCTGCTTAGAGCTTTGGTTAAATAGCATGTTGTTTTGTTCGCTGACGAAAGCTTTCTGCTGACACGTTCGTTGTTTTGTTGCGTTCCTTTCTTCAGGTTTAACCCTACTTTGTTTTACTCATTTTACTTTGTGCTAACCTGGTTACAGTCTCTCCCCTTATTACTATTATTAATGACACTAAATTCTTGGTTGATGGATTGATCAAATAATATTACAGTGATGTTCAGACTTGGGGTTGTAAGGCTTAACTGTGCGCTACATATTCTTATCTTAGTTGTTGCTTCTTTTAAAAAAAAAAAAAATACCATGATAAATATTCTATTAAAACTATCCAGATTTACTTGCAATATATAAAGAGCTTTTTTAAAAGGGCAATTAGCCAAATAATGTAACTGATTACCCATTACTTGCATATTATTTGGTGCAATCTTAATATTCTATATTAAAATTAACAAAACATAATTATGCCTGAGTAGAGTTTAAATTTACCAGAGCAGAATCTAAGTTAAAAAAAAAAAATTTGCCGTAGCGGAGCTGAGCAAATTTAATTATACTTCACAACCCTTTTTTACACTTCAGTGAAAACAAAATGTAATGTTATATTTGTTTCTGTTTAATTACATATTGTTAGCTAGTTATAGATTGGCAGTGTGCTAAATAATACTAATACTATGTAATCACATTCATTTTCCATGCATTTGATTCCACTGAGAACTTTTTAAAATAGAAGGGTTTCCCCATTAAATATGACAATATAAGATAAGATAAGATTCTTTTATTGATCCAAATAAATGGAAATGTTTTTTGAATGCATTATACATTTTCAGCACATAAAAAAAACAATTTAAAGACAATACATTTAGGCCTATAATAAATTATTTCAAACAGCCATTCAGAGAGTTCTCTTAGCCAAAACGGGGACTAATTAGTTCTCATGAAGATGTGTGACTTCAGAGGGAGCACGCCGGTAAATTCCTACAGATTGGGAAACAAAATAATTTTTATATCTATCAGTCCTCGCCCTGATGGAAAGAATTCCTCCCGAACGGCCCTATCCTAATGTAACTAAAGATGTAGTTTCTTTACAATGGGGTTACTAATCAGAAAATTATAAAAAGTGTTGGACTGCAATAAAGCTTTAAAATAGATTAATAAGACACGAACAAATTGTGTCAATATAACAATATAAGTTATGCTTTAATAATAATTATAAATTATACACATGTAAACGTTTCAGCGCATGCCTTCATCAGTATAAACAAAAAAAACATTTTAAAAAGTATAAATTAAATTTACATAATATAAATAAACATAGCCTACTTAAAAAATGTATAATTATTATTAAAGCGTAACTTATAGTGTTATATTGACACAATTTGTTCGTGTCTTATTAATCTTACTAATCAGAACCATGAATTTAATTTTGTATTAAAAGAACAATGGAACATTTTTAAAAAATTACATTAAATACTGATATATCAGTATCAACTGTAACATCACTCTCACATTCACAGTGATATATTTTTTTTTTTGGATGCATGTTTTGTCTCTAGTTGAGTCATATTAGAACAACAAGTTAAGTCAGAAGATTCTTTTGGTTTGTCTTCTAAACTTCTAAATATGTTTTCTTATATGTTTAGATATTTTAGGAAAACTGGCAAATGCTGTAGAGCATATGTCACATTAAAAGTGTTTCTCTCTAGTATGTTTTTTTTTGTGCAAACTTAAATTTGACCAGTAAGCAAATGCAGCAGAACACGCGTCACATTTAAAGGGTTTCTCTCCAGTATGTTTTCTAGTGTGAATATTTATTTCAGATTTTTTTAAAAAGGAGGCAGAACAAATTTCACATAAGTATGGTTTGTCTCCAGCATGCCTTCTTTTGTGTTCAGTTAAATATGATCTACTGGCAAATGCAGTAGAACATATGTCACATTTAAAGGGTTTGTCTCCATTATGTCTTCTTGTGTGAATAGTTATTTCAGATCTTGTAAAAAAGGAGGCAGAACAAATTTCACATTTATAACGTTTCTTTCCAATATGTCTTCTTATGTGACTATTTATTTCATACTTTGTCACAAAGGAGGCAGAACAAATGTCACATTTAAAGGGTTTCTCTCCAGTATGTTTTCTTGTGTGAATAGCTAATTCTTGTTTTGTAACAAAGGACGCAGAACAAATTTCACATATGTATGGTTTGTCTACAGCATGTCTTCTTTTGTGTTTAGTTAAATATGATCTCCAAGCAAATGTAGCAGAACAAATGTCACATTTAAATGGTTTCTCTCCAGTACCAGTATGTCTTTTTTTGTGTTCAGTTAAATTTGATTTCTGAGCAAATGCCGCAGAACATATGTCACATTTAAAGGGTTTCTCTCCAGCATGTCTTCTTTTGTGTTTAGTGAAATATGAATTCCTAGCAAATGCAGCAGAGCATATGTCACATTTAAAGGGTTTCGCTCCCGTATGTTTTCTTGTGTGAATAGCTAATTCATATTTTGTAAAAAAGGAAGCAGAACAAATTTCACATATGTATGGTTTTTCGCCAGCATGTCTTCTATTGTGTTTAGTTAAATATGATCTCAGAGCAAATGCAACATAACATTTGTCACATTTAAAGGGTTTCTCTCCAGTAACGGTATGTTTTCTTTTGTGTTCATTTAAATTTGATCTCCTAGTAAATGCAGCTAAACAAGTGTCACATTTGTACTGTTTGTCTTGAACTCTAGGATATTGTCTCTTGTGCAAAGCTAACTTTTGAATTTTTGCAAAAGCTGTGTAACAAATTTTACATTTATAAGATATCAATTCATCACAAGATTTCATGGGTACCTGTGCAAAAATGAGCAGACTATCATCAAAGGTTGCATTACATGTGTCACATTCATATAGACTTCTCTTGGTATACAGTTCGTTAGAGACAGCCACATGAGATTGCCCAGGTTCCAGTTTTAATGTAGAGCTTTTATTTTGAACAATCTGCATTGTTTCAAGTATCGGTAATGTTATATCTGGTTTTTTCTCTTGAAAACAGGCCAGTTCTTCGTCTTTTAACTTTTCTGAGATGTTTGTTGAAACACATAGAGTTGAAAATGATTTGATATCCGGATCACCACAAAATCCTGTCTCCAACTTAATTTTTGCATGAACTAAACAGTCAGAGTCTGTGTCTTGCTTTGGGTTAACATCATTATATATTTCTTTCTTTAGTAGTTTACTGAAGTCAATCTCTGCCTCTGTCTTTGGTATAAAGTCTTGTTCCATTATAATTAGTTTGGGATTTAACTTCCAATTAATTCTCTCCATTGGCATGATCTGAAAACAAACAAAGTGTGAAAGCTTTGAAATCTGATCCGTATGCATGTATTTGTTTGGTCTATAAATATCAGTGAAAAATACCACTGGCATTTTTTATATATTCAAAACTTCTGTAACAAATATAAGAAATCAAAGAAAGTGAAAAATATGTACTTTAGACTAACAGTTTTAATCCCACACATATTTTGATAATGATCATAATCAAATTTTCTTACAATGGTTATTTAGATTTTTTAAAATGTTTATAACAGTTATAGTAGTCAAATTTTCTAACAATGGTTCTGATCAATTTTCTAATTCCGGTAATGATTATAATCAAATATTTCATCAATGGTTATAATCAAATTTTCTTGCAAAGGTTTTATTAACATTTTCTAACAATTGTTTATAATCAATCTGTGCCGCTCGTTCAATCATTAATTATGTTATTTCATGTTGTAATAAATTAAATTGAAATACTAAAACTAGAACAAAATAAATGGTTTGGCAGAAATCACAAAATGTGAAAATAGAAATTTAATTTCTAAAATTTCTTTACCTCCAGGGTAACCATTTATCAATATGCTGAAAATTTTATTACAATATGACAATATCATCAGTGTGTCAGGTGTGTATTGAGACCTTTTTGTTACTATTAATAAGGATGGTGGAGTGTTTAAGTTAAACTGAGTTTAGACAAAATTACACCTCAAGCAAAGGCTACTACACAAGTTAACATTTGCCTTGCCTTGATCAGAATCATAGTCACTCATATTCGTGAAAGGCAAAAAATAATACTAATGCTCTTAACGCAATGAGTTAGTTGATATAAATAAATGTAATAATTTGTGATAATTAGTATATTAATTAACTGATCCAATCCAATTTTTATTATTTACCTTCAAGTCTTTAAATTTTTTTAAAATCGGAGATGATTATACTATGTTATGTTGTCTTGTATGTCAGAATCTTGTGAAAAAACTATACTATTTGTACCCTAGCCCTATTTACTATATTCAATTTATTTTTAAATATTTTACTTAGTTTTACTCAAACTTAAACGAATTATTTTCATGTCTCTGAAGGTGTAACTGACTAATATTTCTCATGCACCGAGCATGATCCTCAGAGCTATAAATATATCATATAACTATGGCATGATCAGATATGCATATTGTCAGACATTTTGGTAAACAAAGTCAGAGTAAC